TGACCAACGGCTACTCTTATCCTACCTTGACTTTTACATGTCCGAGGAGTTGGTTTTGACAACAACTTGCCAGGTCAAGTTACGGTCAGGGCCTTGCCTTGGACAACCCTCTGTCTTTGTGCCTCGTTGAGTCAACTCACTGTTTCCTTCTCCAATTTCAAATTCAAAACTTGAAAGAAGATGCATAGAGGATTGACCTCATCCAACCCCTAAATGTCATTAAGAAATCAAATGCATTCATGACACATTTTGTGAACATTCAACACAGCTTCTTTTTTTTTTTCCTCCTTCCTTTTCTATTTTTCTATGCTGTTAATATTTCACTACTCCTCCAAATGCCCATTTAATTAGAGTAATATACTAATTTGCATTAAAGGAATGACTTCAAACAATGATGGTAGGTAAAAGAAGAGTCAAATAGGAGGGTAGGTTTCAAATCAAAATCAGTGTAATCAATGTCCGAATAAACCTTGGAGCTTCATAATATACCAAAAACACCTGAATTGGATTTACATCTCCGGTTATAACTATAGCCATGAAACAACCAATGTTCAGCTGGTTAAAGAAAGCATTGCGTCAATGATTGGAGATTGTAGAGAAGGAGCCAGCAATCCATTTGATTGGGAGAGAGTGAATTTAGAATTAGGAAGGTAAGAGATGGAACGCCACTTGTGCTCAGCCTTCTAATTCACCAACCCAATAAATACAAAAGCAATGATTGCAAAGGGCCACAACTACCGTCCGGATTTTCTTTTAAAAGGCTAATCCTATGTGTTCAGCGGCGACTAGCACTCTGCTGGTGCCCATATTGGATGATCGAAAAAGATAGCAAGTAACCAGGGCTTAGGATCTACTTGTTTCTTTCATCTGATACTATAAGAACACACACAATACCAGAGTAGTGCTACAGCGTTGCAAAACCATAAAGTAACATTTATGACAATCAAGATTTCCATTGACATTTGTTTGGGTTAACTTTTACCAATGTAGTAGTGCAGAAGATGCAAACAGCATGGCATGAAAAGCAACAGCGTGAAATATAGATCTGTTTATGGCAAAGGGGCCAAGAGAAAGGGAAGAGGCCAAGGGAAGGAAGAGAGTGTGAGAAAAGGAGCAGACAGAGGAGGGGGGGACGGGTATGGAATATGAATGCTTTGGATAAAACTGTGTTGCTTTACATGCAAATAAGAACACTGAGGGTTGAACTTAATGACATATAGACTTCAATTCCTACCTTATTTTCCAATGTCACTAGACACAATGCCTAATTGCTCATGTGCATAAATTAGGTGCTGCAGAAGTAAATGTACAGCACTATTTCAGCTGTTGCATAGCAATAAGAAGCTACTCAGATTTCGATTGTGTGCTTCAAAAAAGGCATCAGTATGAAAAAGCAGCCATCACTGTACTAATGATCAAATAGCATTATAGCGAACTGACTGGTTACATATCTCACAATCAATAACATCAAAAGCCAACTTCAGAGCTACTATCAATCTAACAAGAATGTGCAGACTAAAAATAGTTGCAACATAAAATCTTATTATCCGTCACAGCATTACCTCCTTACAAAAATAAATGAATTGCGCATGATAACTGCCGTAAAATCCAACAAGACAACATACATCTGCGAAGGACTATATTTAAACAGGGCGACAAAGAAAACCAACTTGAGTATATGATGCACTCAACCGGAAAACTCCAAGCCTAAGGGAGATTTTTGGAAAAAAAAAAGAAGGCAAAAGGAAGGCTAGTTTTACAAGCAACTGCACTGCTCCCTTCATTTTGTTTGAGACAAAAGCCCTCTCTCTAGCAAACTAAAGAAATACTCAACCAAACTTTAATCACATAGAAGCTTTCCAAAAACAGCAGCATTCTGAGTGAGAATTCATAGCCATAGTTAAACAAAGAATCACATTTAAGTGCATTCATTAAAATATAATATTAAGCTCAACACAACCCCATATTAGTTTTGTCTTAGGTAGTACGGATCAAAGTCTGTGCATCTTCATTATTGCATTACCAAAGTAAAATATTAAAATAGCAGGAGAATTAGGTCCACGAAGTAATATAGCTCTGTCGAACAAGGAGTGGCTAGAAACTCAGGAATGAAACATTTGAATTAGAAAGAACCTCATCCACAAAATTAGAACTCAGTTCCAACTCCCAAATTAAACTAGCAAGTCCAGTTCCATCTTCAAGATGCAAAGTGAAAGTAAAGGTTATGCAGACATGCAATATGAAAAATTTATTTATCCAGTCATGCTTTATAGCTAATTAAATGATGATGCCACAGAAATGTGCCAATGCAATGAAAAAATAACAACCAAAGTATTGAACAAGATGAACAGACTTAACAAGACACTTATTTATAACATAATAGCATATGATAGTATCTGAGACCACCTAAGTTTTAGGAAACTACATAATATTAGTACAGGTTATTATTATCACCAATACTAGTTATAATTATGCACAATAAATATAGAAACTTTTGCAGGAAACTAAATTGTGATGCCATGTAATATTCTCAAGTAAAATGTATTAAAGCAGTCAAGGTTGTTTTGTGGGATGATTACCACTAATCATCTTCGAAAACACTAAAAGACAGAGGAGCAACTTTTGCACAGAAATAGCAGTGGCTTTTTCACATTCACACTAAATGACACCCTCACCCTCCAAACCACGTTCCTGGGATTCATTTGTAGTCTAGCGTTTGAGAGTTCCAAACAAAAGTAAACCCAATTACCATCCTTGAATGAACAAATTGCAACAGCACACAATGACTGAGACCCAATATCAATTGAACAACAGAGGCCCACCTGAGCCCTTCCGAAGGGCTAAAAAGTCAGCTTAGGTATCATGACAGATTCCTAATAGAAACCCCTTTTGCCTGGAGTCGCACGAAGGACAAAGCATATACGAGTAAAAGACTAAATTCTAACTATAGTTAATATACCAGTGGTAGTATCTCTATTCATCCACAACCCTTGGAAAGTGGAAGAAAAGTACAAAGCATATACAAAAAATACGCAGCTAAAGAGTCAATAATCCTAAAAATGATATCTGAAGATAACCCTCGGATATAAAAACTTCAATGCTACCAATTAATTAACAGATGGAAATTCCATTCCCAGGTAGAACTGCAGGTAAAGGTAAAATTACATACAACAGTGAGTAATTATTGGTTTTACGTTGTAGCAAGAAAGCAAATAGATAAGAAAAGAAAAAGTATTTGCCTGGCATACGGATAAGAATCACGATTCTAATCAAGGAATTCCAATTCGTCCTCTTTAACATGGGCAAAGAACTTGACAGGTCCCCGGCCTTCAATTTCCTTAACAAACGCCACCTTGTAAGGAAGATTAGCTGAAATCCGTTTCCCTTTCCAGAGCCCGACGTATTGTTTAATCACTCCTTCCATACCGGTCAGATCCACCTCTGGCACGCGAGGCACGTGATACACTTTGAGCGGTACCTTCACCCTAACCTTCGCCCCTACTTTAGCCTCCTCTTCAGCTTCGGCCGATCCTGAAACCGACGCGTCTTTCTCCTCCTTGGCCACGGAAGCGGTGGAGACAGCTTGGCAGGAAATGATTCTCCTTGCCTTTCTAGTCACATTAACGGCGGTTAAGGGAGAAGGAAACGGAGCTGATTTCAGCGTCATCATCGTCGTTTTGGTTTCTGGTGATGATTTTCCATTTGAACGAGTAATCAAACAAGAACCGTGCGTTGCCGAAGACAAAGCCAAAGTGGCTGTACTTGTAGTCATCTCTATCTTCTTTGGTCTACACTTTCTTCCTTTCTTCCGCTTTGGGGTTTTCTAACTTCTATGAACGAATCCCCACCAGATATGCGTGTCAGAAACGATTTCTTCTACTGGCTGAATCCAAGAATCGAAGCACAGCAAACTGTCAGAAGGAGGGAGCGTGCAGTCCTTGATTACCAGTCTCTACCTTTTCTATTCTCTTGTTAAGATAAAAATGTGATGCACAGATACGGCGGACCTCCTTTTTCTTTTCAATTGTAGCCGTTGGATTCTATCAATATTTTTTTTATGAAAAAATAACTAAATATTTACATTCTAAATTACTTAATAAAAAATAAATAATCATAAATTTATAGCCGCTTGAATTAATATTATTTATCCTTTCACAGTTCCATTCATTGATCATTAAAGCTTTTTATATCGAACTATAATAAATTAGCTCTCTCGTATAAATCATGACTAATCCAACTACTAGTAATTATTGATATAAATTTGACCTCAAAAATGGATTAATTTCTCCAATCGTCAAATGGGTCTCATGGTGGATCGGAGTCTATGAACCTTGGCCACCACATTGTAGATATTCGTTCGAGACCAATGCACAAAATTAAGGATTGAAAGGGAAATTACAAAGAAGCAGACAAATGTGTGTGAGAGAGAGAGATAAAAATCCTATGACCTAGACTAATTAATCTTTGCTTTTAAATTGTTCCTACCTTGTGTTTTTTCCTTTTTCTTCACAACAGTGGTTGAGATGGATAATGATGTTCGTCCACAGCCATTGGTGGCGACAAAGGGTAGGGGATTAGGGACGAGAGGTGGACAAGGCAACCTGGGGCACTCTCCTCCAATCTTTATGGATAACGAAACTCGAGCCAGCAATTACCAGGCAAGGGACCCAGGCTCGAGTTTTTCGTCTTCTACCACAGTAACCTAACCCCACCACATTTTCATTCTGTAATATACTACCCAAAAATTCATCGCGCCAACGCACCATCTTTAAAGGAACTACAGTGCAAATTTAGGCTAGAAACAGAAGGAATGAATGCGATTTGCTGTGCCCTCGCTTTCCTTCCTCTAATAGCACTTGGACATCGGACACTTGGGTGCTTTCATTTAATGTGATATGAAACAAGGAAACAAACAGAAAATATTGAAGTAGATAAGAGGACAAAACACTCTGCTGAGTAAATATCTAAGAAGAGTTCCGAAGATGATAATGTAAAGAAATTTATAAAGAAAAAAAAAGGAGGGGTTTTCAATACATATAGCAGCTCACACACACAAACAATCAAGATAAAAGCGTATATACCATAGGGGAGTAAAGAAGCAAATAAACAAGCAACAGATACATAAACCCAACAAAAAATTTACAGGGACCTCATGTACGTAATGGCACAAACGGCCAAATGGGAAGGGGGGGAAGGTTAACATGAAAAATATATCAGAAGATATATTTTGTTTTCTATAAGGACACTCTGCATATTCCACAGCCACGAGAATAGAAGAGAGCATTCACGTCCCAAGATATCACAAAAAGAAGAAAATTCAAAAAAACAGATCTCTTGGTCATTATACATGACGGCCTGGGGAGCGACCGATTAGTCTGCACTGTTCTGGAAGCAAAGACGATACTACTTGTCCGTTGAGGGGAAAAAGTTCACCATCAATACCACAACCATTATGTGTGTGTTTCCCAGCCTTAATCTTAACTGATTTCACCTGCATTTCAGTGAAAGCTATAGTTATATGGTCTTAAGTCATGTGTATATGTTTGAGTATAGGACTCAGTATTCACTGATCCAACAGTTGGACCCAATATGCATCCCAAATCAAATCAAAGAGCATGGGCCAAATACCGTAAATAAGAAACAGTGCACAAACTGAAAAACACATGTTCAAACCAGCAACAATTATTTCATCACATGCATCTAGTCCAGCTGCACTGACAATTTTTTCAACTAAGAATCTTGCACTTGGATGGACTTTTATGGACTCAAAAATCAAGTAACTAGATTTGAAATATAAGATTCTTTACAGAATAAAGAAAAATTGATGCTCGTACCTTGACATATTCAACATATGGCAGTGAAAGGTGTTTTCCCATCTGCAGCAGCAAGAAAAATCTCATCAGCCTCAGTCGCCCACTCCCGTGAACCAACAGCATATCCATGGTGTTGTCATCATGTTCAGCTCTTGGTGCCACCACCTGAGAACTCTGCACAGTTCTGCATGCATGGTTACACACAAGGATGCCAAGAAATGGCCCCTTAGTCACAACCCATTTATCTTCGAATCTTGGGACAACTTCCTTCTTTATTCCTGATTCAACATCATCTGATGGCCCTGGTAACTCGATTGGATTTTCTACATCCCAGTTAGCCTCAGTGTCCCACTTTGGTTCAGCATCCCATATTGGACCTGGATCAGACAACGTTGAAGATATATCCTCTCTATCATTTGTTCCAGCATTACCCCAAGAACATCTAGAAGGATCCTGTGCTGCCGTCAATCCACTCCATCCTTTATCTGTCCTTGACTTTGATCTGGTCCTTGGCCAGTTTGGAGTCGTTGAAAGTGGTAACTGAGGATGAATAACTTCTGGTTCCGCTGTTACATTGCTTCTCCCAGATGATAGCCGTTTATTTTTGGGATCAAGGCCTCGCACATACTCAGATGGTTCAGTGCTTGCATGAGTGCCCCTACAAGTGTCCACCTCACCTCCAGACATTCGGCTAGGAGTCATTATTGAATCGATACTGGACAAACTAGAGGCTCTGGGAATACCATCTGTGTTTGACCTCCTCATAATGTCTGTGTACAGGTCTGACATGTCAACCACTTCCCGATCAGTCGAGTTTTTACCTTCTCGTTCCTCTTTTACTACTGGCAGGTACTCCACTTCATAGTTGTACTTCGGCAAGCACAAAAATTTGAGGAACCCAGCAACAAAATATCGTAGAGGACCAAATCGTCTCTGATATTTCTCAGAAAGTTCTAAGACTGCAACATGAGAAAAAGATACAAACATACAATTATCATTCACATGCTAAGAGATAATAAAGGGCAATTATTTCATTCACACATCATTATATACTCTGAAGAAAGATTTTCTTTCATTAATCATTGTATATATAGAAAATCATGTAGGCCTTCTTTGAATCTAATTTGCCTTGCTTGTATTCATGTTCATGGATCAGTCTATTAATTTAACCAAACTAAGAGATGAAAACGCATCCAAGACAATCATGCAAAATTTGCAAACTGGCACCCTAGTTTACCATCTTTTTACCCAGTCATTGAACTAGTATTTAATAACTAGCACCAATCAGGCTTAAACCTAACAATCAGACTTAAAACCAAGCATCACCCTAATGACAATAATTGTTAATTATAAAAATCTATAACAATCAGACTTAAAACCAAGCATCACCCTAATGACAATAATTGTTAATTATAAAGATCTATGCCAGCCTTTCAAAAAAAAAAAAGATATAAGCCAAACAGATATTAGAACCAAAATTCAGAGTATAAGGATATATCTTACGTAAGTATGTAAGAATGCAATTATTTAAGTATGCATTGTAGAGAATATTAAAGATGTACCAGGCGCCTCAACCATAAATAGGCAACTTAAAACCAAATGATACAAACAAAAGTGGCATATAATACACAATGGCTAGTTTAGGAGCAATTCTGCCATATGATGTCAATTATAGGCACACACTTATGATGACAGGAAAATAGCAAAAAATGGGGAACATAAGGTGGCTTTTTCTTGACGCATGGAATCGCCAAACAAGTGAAAAGGAAAACCAGTCACCCTTCTAAACACCAAAATTATTGACCAATTATATGTGTGCAACAGATGCGAGGAAGAATGGTCAAACCATTCTAAAAGGAGCATCATAATCAATAAGTGTCACTCACAATCCGAATTGAGGCATCACAGCAAGTATTTATTCAGTCACATGTCAAGATGGCAAAATATGCTAGATCGAAAACATCAAAGCATATATCAGACCACATTTCAAACAAAATGGGAAAGAAAAGGATAACTGTAAGGAGTGAACTGACATTGATAAAAATAGAAACAAACCAATTTCTATTGTATTAACCAGGATAGATCATCTTGTCACTAACACGTACCATCACTGACAAAACCATAATAAGAGACCGTCATCCCAAAGTGAATAACACCAGTCTGAATCCACTCAACAGCAAAAACATCTGTAGCGGTAAGACCTCCCTGGAACCAAAAAGAGATAACCTCAATTGTAGGCAACACAATGCCCAGTAGGAAGCTAATTTATCTATAACAAATGTGGTGTTCTCAATACTCTTTTTTCTTACAGTTTACAAAAAGAACATGTTTCCCCCAATAGAGACGCAATAGCATGGAGGCATTTCTCCAAAACTTTTCAAAGGAACATGTTAGGGTCGTTGTTGTTAACCGATTTCAGACCCATGAAGCAAAAAGGTTTAGAAAAAAGCTGGGCATCAATCTACAAAGGGAGTAACAGAATAACCAGCAAATAAAGCATATCTCCTGTTGAATTCACATGGCAGCATTACCTTCACAATAGAAATTGCAGCAGAGACTGGATCTCTAACTCCAAGAACAGTCCAAACAAGTGAGTTGTCAGAACCTGCTGGTATAATTCCAATGGGTATAGAAATTCCTTCTTTCTGATTGTCTCTACTAAGCAGACCATTTAGAACCTACAAATTCACCAAGATGAAGCAACTAGCTTAATAACTAAGATATACTAGAAGAATACCTAATAGAATGCAATCCCATCCAAAGAACATGGAAGCATTATGTTCTATTAAAATGCTTTCAACAGAGCAATTGAGTCACTATCCAGTACCAAAAAATCCTCACAACATCTAGGGAGAAGTCCCCTACAATGAAGATAAAAATTTGATGCTTATGCACTTATAACAATGAACTTATCATCAAGGCTGATAATAAACTTATCAGGTATCCTGTATGATAAGTAGGACTTGACTAAAAATATTGACAAAACTATAGTGAAAGGAAGAAAAAGAAAAAAAATTAAGGATGCAGTACAACTGATAGAAGGTTTCCAGGTGAAATCTAGCAACTACTATAGAGAATGACTAAGGAAGATGTTTATTATTCAAAAAGATTGAAGGGACCTTCTTGAGCATTACATGATCATAAAGCTTTGATCAAGTTGAAAAACAGACTTCATAGAATGAATTAAAATTGTGTATGCTTTATGTTATAGAAAGCTGACTATTTTACTGCATGAAAAAAAAGAAAAAGCAAGGGGAACACGAAAAATGACATGGGTCAAAGCAATGAAAAGGATATACTAGACAACAACATGACATAAAATTTGACATTGCCTAATCCTAATTACCATTAAAGAATCCTATGTAGCCAATCCCTATTGTTGGGATTAGGGTTTCTAACTAACAATTTCAAAAGTTGTGTACTTAATTGAAACAATTTTTAAAAGTTGTGCGCTGTTAAGAGATAACACATTTTCAATTTTTGGCTCATGAAAGCTCAAAATAGATGAAACTTTGTACCATGTTGAGGATCAGGCAAAACGTCATTGGATACGGATACAGCCTCAATTGAGAATCAGTTCTCTCTACATTTAGAGGACAAGTGTTTATATTAGCTAAGACCTTCATTAAGCATATCAATTTGAAAAATTATTCTAAAAGATGAATAACATAGAAAACATTGCAATATTCTTCCTTGACAAGACCAAATTAGATAAAATTCCATGTTCATTTTGAACTCCAAAGTCTTTAATACCGTAAATACATATGCTGGAGGGATATACTTGCATAATGGGTAAACAGTTATTACAACATTTTTAGATAAAATACAGTTATAACTCCTTCCCTAAAATTATTCCCGATCCTATCATAGACACAAGGGTATTAAAGGCCAGTCTCTCAAAAAATTGATCCAGGAATCACAAAATGACACAATAGAATACCAGTTGCCTTAAAAAATTTATGAGTCAATTTACTTGTAAATGTAGCTAAACAATACTAACGGTGTTGAAATGGCTAGAAAAATAAATGAAACTATAACACATGCATCGAAAGATTCTCTAGGAAAAAAAAATAATAAACAGGAAACAAGAATGAGAATTTAACTAAAGTTGAAATGGCCAACCTCATTGATAATCCCATCACCACCAACACATATTATTCCTGAAAGGAAGTAACAGGATTTAAATTCATATTAATGGAGAAGATGATGACCATCATCTAAAACAAGCAAAGCTAGAATAAGTAATTAAATATTCAAGTAGTACTACCATCGGGGCATGTGCTGATATCAACAGTAGATGCTAATTTTTTAGCATGGCCAGCAGAAGTCGTTTTGACCACCTCCAATTTAAACCCTGCAAGCTGTCACAGTTTGCATATACATGTGAAACTCAATATAGCCCAAACTCTAAAACAGCTTCTTCTTGACAATAATAATAACAGAAGAAAGGGAAAACAGAGATCTTACAACAAAAGAAAGAAGCAAGAAGTTATACAAAAGAGAAAATAAAGCACACAAAAAGACCAAAGACCATTATCCAAAAAACACAATGTAAAATTTGATCATTTAATAGTAAATAAATCAGTAAATTACACATTATTTACAATATGCCTGTAATGCATTTCTATACTTAAATAATATCAATCCTTATTTATAAGGAATATCCTAAAAATTAATGTGTGCCTAACATGTGCCTTAGAATAAGTTGATCCATAAGATACCTTCCAAACGCTAAGACTTTACAGACACAGTCATAACACAATGCAAGACGATCCAATAATCAGCAGGGAACAACACAGCTAGAACATACCCACTGAACTTATTCATTTTTTATCTGGACTTATTCAAGGCTATACATGCAGTTAAGCACTCTCACTAAACACAGAAACCCTAAAAATTTGAACATTGTATCTACAATACGTAATACAATTATTAATTAAGGGCCAAAGCCCGCCAAATTGAGAGCATCCTTTCTGCAAAAATGTTATAAGGCAGCTCAATATATCTAAGGATCTCTTCTTCTACTGCTAAACAGTTTTGCCATGATCTTTACCATTGTTCATTTTGAAGATAACATCATGATAATATATTCAACCTTCTAAAATTGTTGCAAAGAATCCTAAAGCAACTTCATTTCAAGAAATATACTTTGCCCTAACCTAACCATACATACTCCAGTACAAGTGATGCACAAAAAGTCAAATCATGACATGTTCATCGCTTGAAGCAGTTATGTGGAAGTGCTCGTATTAACTGCTTAAAGAATAATTTGAAAACAATGAGGAGGACCTTAAAGATTTACATACATCTGAAGGAAAGTTAATTCTAGCACCTTAGGTTCCCAAAGCAGAGAATAATAGCTTAAAACACTGCCAAATATAATACACGGAGAAAAATCAATGCAAGTTCACCAAAGCGAAAGAATACACTACGGATTTATTCATTTTATGAAAGGATATGGGGGAGAGGAAGCGAACTCCAAAGTAACAACAGCAGTAATGATCAAAGACAACCTACTCCAACGTATCAAATCCATAGATAGTGTCCGACGATAAAAAAAAAAAAATAGAACTAGAATATATATAAATTGGTAGGATAAAGGCTACACAACATACCTTAAATATTGGTTCCACAATGCCATGGAAAACTTTAGTAGAACGACCCCGACCTGACCTTGGGTTCAATATAACAAGCATCTTTGGTGGATTCTTGCACCTGAACACAAGCTCAGGAGGAGCATCCACCGGAAACAATTCAGAAGAGGCTTGTTTCTTTGAAGAAAGCAATGGGTGAGGCAAACAATTGATGAAACATTGCTGATCTGCAAACCCACCAACCCATTGAACTGCCTCTTCTACACTAGAAGCCAAGAAACGAAAATCCTTTCGACTTCTCTTTGGTTTAATAAAACACGAAAGGCCACAAGAACCCTTTTTAAGAGGGTAAGAATGCACAGTAAAATGTCTAACACCCACATTGTAGGATACCTGTCAAGATAAAGAAACTGAATAGACTGATTGCAAACTCAAAAACCCAAAATAAACACTCATTCATTGCAACAGCCCACTTCAAAGGTTAAAAGTTTACCGAGACGACATCATCGAGAGGCAACACATGAGAACCCCAAACCAAAGCTTTGCTAGTGAGTTTAGCATCGACAGCTTCTTGGTTGGCAATATCAGTAGATGAATTCTGCTCTACATCGGCGGAATTAGTATTAGGTGGGACATTCTTTCTCTTATCTAAAATGAGCTTCCCTGAGCAAACCACATAACCAAGTAAATCAGATTTTTCATCCCCTCCTCCGATATCGATTCGGTGCTCTTCCCTTTTGGATTTATCAGGCTGATCATCAAAGACAGGGGCTTCACCACGTTTGGAGGAAGCCTTGAGCTTCTTAGTACGTTTCTCAGGGAACACAATTGGGGAAGAGTGGGTTGCTATTTGTGAACACAAGCTCAGCCGCCTCAACGACTGCTGAGTCTGCGGAGACGACGACGACACTCTCACTGACGGACTATTACTACTCCTGGATAGACTCCCACTCTTCTGCATATCCGTTCACGCGCGTCTGCTCCGTAATTGTCAACACCAAATTTCACAACCACGGACAAGAAATAAACAGATGGAGACATACAAAAAAAAAATCTTTCTTATAATTTTTGTCTTCTTTTAATCACACGCCAACTGTAGCAGAAGACTCGGAGATTATGATGACGATGGCAGCTCGAATTCCGATCAGGGGTCTCCCCACAGCGCGAATCACACGATTAATCTGTCAGATCAGCTTAGAATTTTCAAATTTTAGTTTCAAAATTGGCTTTAACAGAAATTTGTCAATAATTTGGAGAGTAAAAAGGGTTAAAAGAAATGGAAATCGGAATTGGAATGAATTTATAAATTTATACTCACCGGAAAACATAAGGAAGCGGCGGCTAAGGCGGCGGATCGTACGGCTGCCGGAATGAGTTAGGTTGAGAGATAAGCGGATTCGCTGATTGAAACCTAAGGTGAAGGCCCCTGGCTTTTCGGGCTCATTTCATTTGTTGTCAGGGGAAGAAATATGAGCCCACCTTTTTTTTTTCTCCTTCTTATTTTATTTTATCCAACCACTATTGCTCCCCTATTTTTTTATATTAACGTAATATAAAATATTACTACCAAAAAGAATAATAATAATTCTACTGCTTTTGCCAGCGTTCCGAAAGCAGGCATTGACTCTTTTTTCTGTTTATATTTTCAAATTTCACAACTGATATGCCAAAAAAGATAATAAAAATTACCATAATAAATTCTCAACAAAAGTAAGTTAAACCCATCAAATTCCGAAATGAATGGCGTTTGACGTGTCTGTGGGCTATTGACTATTTTGGTTCTCTTGGATTGTGGACAGTGAAGGCCTACAAAACTAACATAAATTTCCTTCTTTTTTTTTTTGTTTTTCATTTATGACAGTTTTGATCCTTTTTTGAAATTTTAATTGCTCAAGAAACCCAATTGACGTGTTGGTTGTGAACTTTAGTTAGTAATTATTGGATGGAATGAGATTAGACATAAGCTGATAAGCATCAGTTCCCCTGAGATTATTAGAAAGTAATCAAAGAGCATCTTACGGATCAAGGTTTGTTAAACAACCACCTCTTTCCCAAATACACTTTAAATCATAGAAACAAGAGAGAAGGTTTACTTTTTCCCTGCATAAACCAACCAACCAACTAACCAATGAATCCAATTTTCACTATTTACCTTCACTCTATATATATGCCTGGATAAGGGTTAGTGCATAAAATTTACCAATTCCTAGAGGGAAGCGCTTCCCTTCCCTTCCCACCCTGGCCCAACAAAAGATTAAAAGACTAAAGAAGAGGATTCCCACTTTGAACTTTAACCACCTTTTAAAGAAAGGTAACAACAATTTAACCTGCCCTTCCCATGGTTCTTTTCACTGTAAGGTTGTGTTTACCAATAAATTTAGAGATGGGAAGATAAGGGAAAACATCCATTTTACAAATTGGGCTACAGCATCTATGATTATGGATGAACTATCAACTATCTAATAAATCAAATATACATGTTAACTACAAAACTAGCCGAAGGCTTTTTCAGGAAAGGGAGAGTGGCCATCGACAAAAATTAATATTATCTTCGAAAGTGGATATTCACAACTGATGGTGGCAAGAATAAAGTCTGCTGGATCGATAGAGCAAGAGGCAAAAAAGGATGGAATAAGAAATACGATATCTTTTTGCTCCGACCATCTGCACTACCGAATTCAGGACCTAAAAGAAAAGGCTGAACCATTAATATTTAATACTATACACGTAAGAGTTTTAATTGTACAAGAGTGGGGAAAAAAATGAGCAAAAGGAGTACCATAGACAGACCAATTATCATTGTGTAAATGAAAAGTGAAATTTAATTAAGCCATCTACGGCAGATTCAGAAGGCCTTGATATTGATATAATTATGCACAAAAGTTGAAAAGACCCTTGCTTCTTTAAAGGTTAGAAGGAAAATCGAAATTGCCTAAACAGATACCACAAAAGGAAAACCATTACCTGGCTTTATCTTAAATTTGAGATTGTTTGGCTGCCTCCTAGAAATGAACCTGATGGGATGATCTGTTACCTGTCTGTGCCGGTCAGTTGCAGAAATTAGCTGCAACAACATGCAAGATAATGGTAAGGTCTTGATAAGCAGGATTCCAAAGAGCAGATAAACAATAAGAAGAGAAAAAGGCATATATAGAACAATGAAAATACATTATGGCCTTAACATTTATAATACAAATCTGTAAATAGTAAGGAACATGAAGGCACCTACTCTTCATAATAATAAAAGGTAAGGGGTAGAAAACATGGGAATAGGTGAAACTAGCAGCCTGTGAATCAAACCTTCTCGTCAAAGCGGAAGAGAGACTGATCAAAGTAGGGAGAAGGACTCAGTGATTGACAATTGAACGGCAACGGGGACAACATCTTTTTTACAAACTGCAGAAAAGTCATCAGACAATCAGACATAACTCAGGCAGAAGACTTCAAATACCAAGCTCTACTGATATCCATCAATTTTTTAATCATGCCTTGTAAAACCCTAACAAGGAAAAATAATGAAGAGAATTCCAGAAAACATACAATAAAATAGTAAAAACAAACTAGTAACAACTTCTAATGAAGAGATTCACACCTGTGAAAAGATGGTGGCCTTATTCTTCATGCACCTTAGTTGCTCAAGAGCATGAACATTATTTGAATGAGATGATATGAAATTCATATACAATGAATTTATTGATGCTTCATGGAAGTGATCACAGAACTGCTCAAAGAGAAGGTAAAGCTCATCTGCTGCATTCTGGAAGAAGTAATAAATCATGTGATTGTCAGAGAGTTCAAAAAATAATACAACACTAAATAATAACAAACTAATACCTGATAGAATGCAACAATTTCAGTTGTCTCCATGTTATATACAGCAAAGAACGCAGGATGTTGATCAGTGTTTCGTGATATCTGAAACTTTCAAGTCAACAAATCATAAGTATTTCAACTAAATATTTATATATCAAGCACAACTAGTATTCCAGTCTTGGAAGAGTATGAGGGTTTTATGACAAAGAAATATGAATATAAAACTATTTCATGACACCACTGCGATCTATTTCCTCATATATCTCGGGCCTATTATCATATTATTGTTAGTTTATTATAATGTACAGGCAAAAGCAAGAAAACCTCACCCCTCCATCAACACTACCAAACTTGATAAGCAGATGATGCCGGTCCAAGAATTGTACCTGTCCAAGAGTTGTGCATAAATTTGTAACACATCTGTCACCTAGTGTAATAAGACTTGCATCATCTTATATTAAGGGACTAAACAGAATGTACAAGTGACCTCAATGACTCATGGAAAACAGCAGCACCTGTATAGACTATAGAACATGGACATTAAAATTCTACCTTCCAGATCATCAAGTCAACATAGTCCTGGAAATGGAAATAGAACTTCTTCTTCAGGCACTGGACCCTCTGATATAACAAGGAAGCAATGCAATTAAATCTCTAAAGCTACAAGAGATAAAAAAAATATTTCTGAAGCTCTTCAAAACTCTTATTGGAGCTACTGATAATTTCAAGTGATGTGAAAACAGAAGTAACTTCAAAACAATATAAATCAACATGAGCAATATGAAACACAAAGAATTATTTTGAGGCCCAAAAAGTCTAATAACTAACCGGGGTTTGATCTGTTTCTTCGCTCCATATTTCTCGGAATATGAATGAAAGTAAGCGTTGTTTGATACCACTCAGAAAAGAATTGTTTGAATTAGGCTGCTCATAATGTATACCATTATCTACAAGGTCTCCACGATTGCCTGAAAACTGATGCAGTTAACTTTTGTCAGAAGTTGTGAAGTTCTATCATCAATAGTTAGACTGTTAGTACAGATGCCCACACTTGAACATGGTGAAAAATAATTAGCCTCTGAGGCTGGACAATTAAAATGATAGCCACTATGGTCAGAGAAGCATGGTAATGATACAGCTTCTCAATCAAACACATTCTTGTTCAAACATTTACAAACAGGAAAGCAACCTACATTGAAAAGTTTTAAGGCGTAACAGTAAGTCGAGTAATGGTAAACACAATAACTTCAATTTACTAGTAAGTAATAACTGTTGAAATGAATTCACTGATGCCTAAGCTAATCTATTTGATATTTGCATAGCACGATAGGAGTCAGATTAAAAAAAATATAAAGGCAATAACATCTTGCCTGAGAACTGGAATTTATAAAAAGCTCATCGTCTTCACGACAATATGCACCTATAGCTCGTACATCAACAAGGTTCCCAGAGTCTCTGATTTGAAGAATGTGTATCGTCTGATAACGAAGTGAAACAACTGCCAGCAAATCGTCATACAAGAAGACACCCATGTTATGGGCCAAATTGACATAATCATTCTGAAATACCTTCTCATCTAGTATAACCCCATCTTCCAACCTAATTGTATTACAAAAGAAGCAGAACAGAACCGCATAGCATTAGCAAAAAATTTCTATTGGTAAACTTCCCAACAGAATAATAATTTTTCAGCGGGGAAAAATATAAACATCAGCCTATCAGCACGGTGTTAAAATGTTATTTATAGAAAGAATTCTACAATTAATGCCGTGTTCCTTCTAAATTAGGCAAGATTTGTGCATTAAACAGTCAACCACTATCCATATGCACTTGTTAACGAAACCCTTTATAATTTCGGACAAAAATAAACATGGTACGGTACACACTACCTCAAGAGGTGAAAAGTGATTTTTTCAATAGATGGGACGCCCGGAATGGCTCCACCCACGGCAGGTGCATCTTGAATTTGAGCAGTGGAAGTAGCAAATAGCCCAAATTGGTTACGCTCCACGTAGAGAAAGAAGTCTTTACATATAAGCTCATTGCAGGAAGCAAGTGATCTAACGTATAACTGCGTGAAGAAACTCTCAAACCTCTTAGCCATGGGAGGGAGTTCATGGGTATTATCACAATCTTCTTCTTTGCAAGAAAACGAAACCCATGTTGGTCTATAAACAATCAGATCCTGATTGTTCCTACTGAAACTTATAAAGTACTGACCATCATCCGTGAATTTGCGAAATGAATGGTCCGGACATTCCACGTCATATATCGTAAAACTCGGAACTAAATTCTCGTAAAATCTTCTAGCACAATGAACCTGTAATTTATCCCAAAAAGGGGGTGGGTGGTTTGAGAGAAATTATCAAACAAGTGGAAGGCAAGACAAAATATAAAAGCAAAAGAACCAAAACATAAAAAAAGAAGGAAAAGATACGCTGGTTCCGGGAGCAGGGGTGCGAATTTGGCGCTCGAAAATTCGGGAAGCGACATTGTTGGTTTTAAACATCACCTTCAAATCAACCCTGACAATTGCTGGAACTTGGAGTTGTTTGAACGAAAGTTGAATGGAAATGGGAAAGTTTAATGTTTATTTCTTCTTTATCATTATCGATAATATAGAAATAGAAATAAAATACCTGGTGGCAAATGGGAGTTAGGAGGAGCAGGGCGTGGAAGCGTCGCCGTAGCCAATGGCAAGGCGGGGAGTGATGAGAGGCTGAGAGAGAGTTGAGTGGGGATTGTCAGTTGTTAGGACCGTGAAAATAGAGGTGCAGATTTTTTTCTCTAAAGCTTATTCCTTTTTTCAAAAAATAAATTAAAATACTTCAGCAGTTCGCATTTATGTATTTCCTTCACTTCAATTCCTTAATTCAAAATTACAAATTACCCTTCACTCGAAGCACTTATCTTTAATTATATATTTCATTTTTTTTATTCTTCTTTCTCTCTTTGCTCTCAGTCGTTATCTGTTATCAATTGATGGTTGCTGGTTACATTCATGGCATGATATGTTCAATGACTAATTATCGACGGTCAATAAAAAAAATTTAAAACAAGTGATAACTAGCTTGTCTTGTTTGTACAAGTTCTTGGTTTAAAAAAAAATATTGATAATAAGAAGAGGAAGGAGAATGGGCACGTCGACAAACTGTGGGCCATCCCATTGACGTTACACCATCAACGTGTTCCGTTATCCCATGCTAGTTTGTTAACGTCCCTTTGACTTTTAGCCCTCCACTTTTCTCCGCTCATCTCCATTTTAACCTTTTCTTACTTCAGCAAACTATTTCCCAACATTTCTCTTGTTCCTTTCATGGAAGCCCAATAATCCAACTGTATTCAACAAGTTTTGTATTTGTGAGATACATTGTTTCTTTATTTCATTAATGATATACAATATGATTTTGAAGTATATGAAATTAATTTTTTGTTTTGAAAATTAGGATGCTTTAATAAATTTATACTAGTTTTAAATATTTATTTTGATTTTTTTTATATTTTTATTAGTGAAAGAACATATAATTTTTTATCTTCATATTAGATTTTGTCACCTAATATTCTTTTGCTTAATCATTGAAAGTGCATACATATTGTATACAGCTTTTTAGAATTGGGCACTCATAATCCTTGTGCTAGACACCTTTCTTTTATATGCATCAAGAGGTAGATTTTTCAGATTAAAAGGAGAAAACGAAAAGGTAGTGAGGTTGCATGTGCTAGTGTATTAATTTTCTATTGCACTCTGAAGCTGGACCAGTCTCGAATAAACTCCCTCGGATGCTGATATCAGGGTTGAGTGGGAACCAATCTCCACAATCTCTCCTTTATCCATGACAACGATCACATCTGAGTTTATGACCGTGGACAGTCTATGTGCAACTGTAATCTGGGTTGGTCTAGACAAGAATCCGCCATTTCCCTCCTTGTCTATGGATTCCAGGGCGTTTACTATGGTTCTTTCAGACTCTACATCAAGTGCACTTGTTGCTTCATCCAGAAGCAAGATTGCAGGCCTCTTTAATAGGGTTCTTGCAATGGCTATTCTTTGCTTTTGTCCACCTGAAAGTTGGCACCCTTTTTCCCCAACTACTGTATCGTAACCCTCAGGCAAATTGCTTATGAACTCATGTATGTTTGCTTCTCTTGATACCTCCACAATTTCAGTCTCGGAAGCATGTTCAGTCCCGTAGCAGATGTTGTCTCTTATTGAGGAACTAAAAAGAAGTGGTTCTTGTTGCACCAGCCCAATTTGTCTCCTTAACATCCTCAGATTATATTCCTTTATATTCTTGCCATCAATAAGAACCCTTCCCTTCCATGGATCATAGAACCTTAGCAAAATGGCCAGCACAGAGGACTTGCCAGCTCCACTTGGCCCAACAAGAGCTATTTTGGTCCCTGGTTCAATTTGTAAACTGAAGTTGTTGAGAACAGTCACTTCTGGCCGTGAGGGATAGTTAAATTTAACATTTTGGAATTCGATTTTTCCTTTAATCCTCTCAAGGTGGGAGTCCTCTGGTGTATCAGGTTCGATTTCTGTTCTCCGGTCAAGAGTTTCAAATGCAGGAGTTAGGACATTGATCGCGGAAATGGCAGCAGGGATCAACGTCCATAGTTCAGTGATTGAAGGTACTGTGAGGGAGAAAATCTGGTATGATCTTATGGCATCTACGAAACTTGCTTGTCGTCTGCCAACTAAAATCGTTGTATACCATAAAGCAACAGCATGAGCAATATTCCATAAGCAAAGGGAAAAGCCTTGAATGATCCCATACTTAATACTTTCTTTCCTGCTTCTTTTCTTTGGCTTTTCCAAGGACAATGCGGCTCTCCTGATTATGTGCTCTTCATGGCAAAACGATGCAATGGTTCTTATGTTGGCTGCAGACTCAGAAGCAAGGGCGACAACTTCATGGTGTGTAGCAGCAGAGTTACCCGCAAATCCTTTGGCAGATTTGGCCTGAATGAGTCCACCGATAAAGTGGCAAGGCATCACAGCCCAAGCTACCAGACCCATTCTCCAGTTTACAATCATGCTAACAACCGTTGCAATTAGTATGGAAGAAACACATTGGACAATAACAGACATCCGATCAGAAATTATGGTTTTGACCATGGAGGTGTCATTGATGACCCTTGAAGTAAGTGAACCAACACTATTCTCAGGTTTCTCAAACCATGCTAACTCATTTCGTAGCATTCCTGTGAGATATTAATGAAACAGATGTTAGTCTGTGGCGTGAGAATGTTTCTTAAAACTTATGGGAGCTAGCAAAATAAATTTCACATTGGGAAAAAGAAGTAATAGGGAAACATGATGATGTATGTAGATATTCTCATGGGACAATTAGTACCTGAATACAGAGCACGCCTGAGGTTTGCCATGGCCTTTTCTCCAACCACTCCATAGAAGTAATGCTGCAGGGTGTGCATGACTAAAGCTAGCAATCCTATTAGAGAGAAGATAATGGAATACCTCCCAACCATCTGCCTTGCATCTTTCTTGTAGTATCCTACTCCTACAGTAATGATGAAGAATCCAAAAAATGGCTTTGAAACACCAGCAAAAGCTGCTGCTATGGAACCAGTTGCAACTTTTGCAAGCTCTCCTTTTTTTAAGCCAAACCAGATTCTGAAGAATGTAATTGTGTTTTTTCTTCTTTTCCATTCCACTTGCTTGGAAGATTCACTAAGATGTCCGTCAAGATCTTTTGTTTCCTCCTTTTGCTCAATGTCTGGAGGTGAAAACTGTTGATCAGTAGTAATAGCTTCTTCAGTGGCTTCACTAGCCCTGTCATTGTTCACGTTCCAAGCAAGTTAGAATGCTGTTTAACTTTCCTTCTGAAATAAAATCTGGGTATAAAAATTACACCAGTTGTCTTTTGAGGTTCGGATTACTGTTAAAATGGTTCAGTTATCACATGTCACAACTACAATTTCGTTAATGCATCTCTCTTAAAAATGAAAATTCACCACTAATAATTCATTGGTGCATCTACCATATGAAAGTTCATAAGTAACAACTGAACCATTTTAACACCAACTCGGTCTCTCTTTTATATATTTTAAATGGATTCAGCATTCGTATTCAACTCAGATGAATCCAGTCAAAACTTCGAGATATAGGAGATCAAGTTTATTCCTGGGGCATCACATGTGGACATACCTTGACTCACGAATTGGGCCAATGTTCTGAATGCTGAACAAATTTTTGTAGAACCTGCTAGAGTCTAACAAGCTGCGGTGTGTTCCCGTTTCTGTAACTTGTCCATTCTCCACTACTGCAATTATATCAGCATTGATAATGGTTGACATCCTGTGTGCAATCAGGATAGCTGTCCTCCCCTGCATAGCCTTCTCCAGGGCATCTTGGACCAGTTTCTCCGACTCCGAATCAAGTGCACTTGTTGCCTCATCAAGTAAAAGAATTGGAGGATTCTTTAGAATAGCTCTTGCTATGGCAATTCTCTGTTTCTGTCCTCCCGATAACTGGACTCCTCTTTGGCCTACCTGCATTGCATTCCAACCACAAAGTCAGTATTGCTTGCCGGTTGGTGTACTTACACAGCACAGTCAAGCCTAAAATTTTTTGAGTGAGTTAATAGAGGCTAGGTGGACAACCTCCGTTGAATAATGATTTGGAAGTTGAGAGACAAAAGTATGTGCATTCGCCATTATTGCTGCATCCTGGATCTGTCTGTCGTTGGCATCCATATTTCCTACTTTGATATTGTCCTTGATAGTGCCAGCAAAGAGTGATGGTTCTTGGGATACTGCTCCAATATTCTTCCGAAGGAACTTCAAATCAAGATCCTTGATGTTATGATCGCCAATTAGAATCTCCCCTGCAGTGTAGCACATTTTTCATTAGCCTGGCATTAGATAGAAATCCTGTTTGAATTAAAGCAGCGCAGACATTTGCATAACCACGCTAATACAGCGATTAATTCAAATTGTAACAGGCACCACCAAGAAGATGCAACTAACCTTTGGAGGGATCATAGAACCTTTCAACTAAGGAGATAACAGTACTCTTTCCACAACCACTGCTGCCCACTAAAGCAACCATCTTTCCTGCTGGAATTGACAATGAAAATCCTTGAAGGATCAACTTTTCTGGCCGAGAAGGGTAAGCAAAATATACATCACGTATTTTGATGTTGCCACCAATCTTCTCAACTTCTTTTCCCCTTGAATCATAACTGATAGCTGGCTTTCTTCGGATCACCTTGAAAACCTCATATCCTGCAGCCTTTGCCTGATTAAATATTTCAATGTCTGGTGCGGCAAAAGTAAGTGATCTGCAATTTAAAACAAGCCAGTGTTACATATGTGTAGAGACTGGAGTGAAATACTTTATTAGCCTCAAGGACAGGGTCTTCTCTTACACGGATCCAAAGAGAATGCTCATCACCGCAGCAATAACATCCCCTCCTTTTGCTTTCCTGGAAGTGACAGCAATAGCTCCAATCCAAATGATCAAAGCCCAGGCACAGAAGGTAACAGTTTGAAACATGCCGGTTCCAACTCCTTTTATCAGTGCTTCCCCTTTGCTTAAGGAGAACTGTTTCTCCAAACACTCTGAGAACGATTTAATTGCAGAATTCTCTCCAACAAAAGCAAATACAGTTTTGATTTGAGAGAAAGTCTGCGGCATAGTAAACCTTATATATTAATAACTGAGATAACTTAGATGCTCATGTATTAATCATCTTACAGGTTTAAGATATGGAGCGAGAAGCAGTTACATTTTTTGACAACTTATTACCTGTTCTACCAGGGACGTAGCTTCTGATATGTAGAGCATCTTAGTAGCTGAAATAGCATTCATTTTCTTGGTGTAGGTACCTCCAATCACAAGAATCATAGGAGCAACCACAAACATAAGCAGGGAAACTTCCCAACAGCATATCGCAGCAATAAAGATTGCTGAAAAGAATGTTGCAAAGCTTGAAAGAAAATGGCCCAACTGGGAGTCAGAAGTTAAGTTAGCAATATGTCAACATTTTGAAGAAAGCTATAAAGCGAGGTGAATCAAATGCATAATTTATGTACCTTCTCCCCTATTGCATCTTGTATGATACTCATGTCATAACTCATTCCACTAATTATTTTCCCACTTGTTAAATCTGTATCAAATGCACCAATTTCTTGGTTGAGCATTGCTCTCAGGAATGCTAATCTTAGTCGTGCCATTTGTCTTTCACTTGCATACATCCAGCATCCAATCTCTGCAAAGCTCAAAACCATAAGGATATATGGAGCAGTACAAGGGAGTTCTAGGCAGTCACAAGATCAGGTTGTCAGTTCTTCCATTGTCATAGACAAAGAGGGGGCAATTGCTCCCTTCTTGTCAAGCACAATGTAGAATTCATTGCATAAGAGCCACTATGTATCTCTTAACAGATTAATTCTGACAGGGGGCCCATTTAAGATAATCTAGAAAGTATAGTATAATAGACGCATATTTACTTTGGTATGCCAATTAGTAATCCTTCATTGCCTATTCGTTGTGGAGTCCAAGGTTAATTGTCATATGACCTTGTTAATATCACTAAGACAAGAATAAGATACCTAGTACTCCAGCAGGGAATGTGGCGAAAGCCATGTACCATACGAAGGGAACAACCTGCACAAACAAACAAGTCAAGACGTGCTGATAAAACTCTATCAAATTTTTAAGCTGGTGCAGCTTGTGCATACCTTCTTGATTGCCTTAGCCATGCCATCGATGTTATTAACGTTGTCCCCAAATGCATTAAGAGCTTTGCCTAGCAACAGATATCCAACAGGTTGAGCCATGCCATGTACTATGGAACCCAAGGTCCCCAGTGCCATAAGAGTCCAATCCAGTGTATCTGCATAGCTCAAAAGCATATAGAATGGAAAAGCTTTGTTGGCAGCATCTCCATTCTTCTTCTCGTCTTCTATTACCCCTCTCTTTTCCTCTTCTACCTTCATGATTTCATAAGTACGGGAGGCCATTGGTATGGACAGCCGAAAGTGTTTGGTTCTTGAATATGCTCCTACAATCTGCCTCGTCGATGTATATATATACTTAGTAGTTTTTAGGAAAAAATACGTTTAACGAAGAATATAACATGGATATGCCCTGGATGCGTTAAATATAAGAATGAGAACTGAGTTGTTCCTCCTTGGAATTACCCCAAATTTCTGTTTCTGCATGTCATTGCCTCTTGTGACGTAGAAAAGACATGCAGAAGGATACATATATATGCCTTATGCAATGCCTGGTAGCCCCGTCATCGTGGATATTAAAGTAAACAAACGTTGACATCTTAATCGTTGACATCTTAAACTATAATAATAACTTGGCCTTTTCACCTTTGTCTCGTATCACCAATCCATGACGACGCATTGGCAGTACTTGCTTAAAACAAAGATTATCCCAAATCTATAAGCAGTTCACGTAAGTGCTTCCGTGTAAACCTGATTGATGATGGGGCGGTACTTTTTAGGTGGTATAATTCAATCACAGACAATTTCCTTAAACAAAACCGAAGCAGCACTGTTTGGTCGTTTTAACAAAATTGGGTATTCTCATTCGTCAATGTGATTTCCTCACCTATGTAGTAATTCAAGAACCGTAGGCAACGAACTATCCAAAGAAACTGACTTTTCAAGGAATGGTTTGAGCCATGAGAGTTACTTGATCAGTCATCAGAGGAGGCCTGTAGTAATGCAGGCGGCCATTCATCATTTCCTAGCTCTCAGACATGATACATTGTCCAAACTCCAAACAAATTATCCCAAAAGACATGGTCCACACTCCTGCACCTGAATTCTCCCTTACAAAATTTGCCTAACACCTCTCTATAAACGTTGAGGCTTCTTATTGTGGGCCAGTTTTCTGGTAGAAAAACAACGCATGTTTAAAAAAGGAATACAATTGAAGACCTGGATTTAAGATAAGTGTGTCATTCAATAATTTTGTATATCATGTTCAGCAACTTGATCTAATAACTGAGCCTTCGTGTTTGTCTTGACTAATGTAGGTATTTTTAGTGGTTTCTTGAATAAAGACAAAATCCATTGTGCTGTATTAATTCAAATGTACACTTTCCTATTGAGCCCTTACCTTGCTTCCATGGATTTCATCTTGGAAAAGTTTCGCTTTTCCTTTCATATTGCGGATTTCTTTAGGCTTTTTCAAGGGCTAATGAAGAAAACACATCACCAAACCATTTTGATGGGAAATCTTGTAAATTTCATTTGCATGGTAATATGAGAACTAAGTCTAATCTTATGGTTTATTTCATATATAAGTAGATACGAAAAGAATGTCTGCAAGACCGCAACCATCAATTGCAACCTGAAAACACCTTTTACGCATCTGCAATATCATAGAGGAAAGCTTTGCTTCCTCCATGTTATTAACAACTAATTCATGTACTGATCCCCCCAAAAAAAAGAAAAAGAAAAACTAATTCCATGTCACATCAGAAATTACAAAATCCTAGATGACTGCAACATCAGGTGACTACTCGCTAGAAGTTTAAAACACATAAGAGAGAAGAGACTACTAACATCACAACATCCCAAAGCAACTAGTGTTTGGTAAGAGTGATTGTTTAAGCAATTGGCTTCAGCACATACATTTTGCAGGAATGAGGTTTCAAAGTCGCTGTCAGATTGCCCACAAATTTTGTCTTCAGTGTTTTGTGCTGCAAGAGAGGCATACATGTTACATTAGTAGGTGTGTCGTAACAGTTAAAATGTGCTGCACAAGGTTATAAGAGAATCATTCATGCATGCAAAGGGAAACAGCAGCACATTGGAAAAATGACAGCAGAATATACTAAAGCTTGTAGCTAAAATTATGTACCTCCCAAAGATCTCTTGCTTCAACAACAGTTGTGGAGGCTAGTCCAATATCATCCCAGCGACTGTAACAGAAGTACGAATAGTACCCCTGTTGAGTATGACCACAGCTACTCTATCACCAGAAATAGGTGCTGCCCAAGTCTGTTAGAAGGCATAGAAAAAAGGTAACTTGAGCAGAGTATGGCATATTGGTATACAGTGAACCAAAAAGGGGCTGTGACAAATTTTACCTCTTCATCACCTGCATCCTAACCTTCTTAGCTTGAATACCATATAGATCTATTTGTAGGCCATAACATGAAGTTAAAAAAATTGATAACTAATGATGCTTAGGAATTACTTAAAGTGGGGAGCTTAAAGGTTTTTGTACAAAGGTAGTCATTATTACCTTGGTTAACAGCAATGACCTCTTTATTTGAAATAATCTCTATTGTCTCTTTTGTCATGTTCCTTACGTCACAACCAAGAATAAGAGGAGCCTGCAAACCATTGACATTTTATCAACCAGATGTAACATGCAGATAACCTGATTAAGCAAAAAAAAAAGGGCGTATAACCTGGCATCAAACAGAAGATATCATCTGTTACCTTGGAAATTGCCCACAAGCTGAAATGTACTATATATTCATCTTTTGTCATCCCTCCATTCCCCACCTCAAGCATGTCAGGATCTATCAAAATAAATTACATAATAAATCTCTCAAAAAATTGTAATTATAAATTATTTCTATATTGGTTAAAACACTGCCACTGGTAGAGAAGTCGAACCATTCCAACCACCAGGCCTTGCATATTGGGCATAAATTTCATTTTGGTCAGCTCTGGAGATCATACTGTGAGGCAGAAAAAATTGCAAGTTAGGGCTCTAGGACGAGGCTCGGATACCCAAAATAGAAAACCGACTTTCTGAGCATAAACCTTTACCTTTCCCATGTATCTTGTATGTCATTAGTTGTCCTCCAGCTATTTCCTACAGGTGCAGCCCATTCAGCAGGGTGCATATCTCCCCTAAGAAATCAAAATGAAACATCAGTCCGACCAAAAAGAATCAGCAATTAATGAATAAAAAGCTTAAGTTGCTGTGCTTCAGAAGGTACCATTCACATAGAGAGAAGAAGATGGGGCGGCCAGCCTTCCTCAAAGCACGAGTCATGACAGGGTATCTACATGAAGAATAGTAGTGATAAATGAGAAGATGGCTATAGGTTTGGATACATTGCCGCAAATCCGAACAAAAGCCAATTGTGTAATGGAATGTTCCCATAGATACGACTAATACCTTTCAATTGGCTTTGAGCCGCCATTGTGACAGTTATCATACTTCAAATAATCAATACCCTGCAAACAAAACAATTTCCACATTGAATTCTATAATTTATTATATATGATTATTTAGGATAATAATTGTAACAATTTTGTTTTTTTTTTTGCAAGTGTATGCAAGGTAGATTCCAAAAAAAAAAAAAAAGGATTAACACATGAAAAATGATCACTGAAGTTCATACCCATGAAGCAAAGGTTTTAGCATCCTGTTCTTCATGACCAAGTGAACCAGGCATTGACTTACTACAAGTAAAATACCTGCAGAATAAATAATAGGATATCCATTAGCGATAGGCAGCATTCATGTTTTTGTCTCACAAGTCATAAGAGCTAGAGTTACATTACCCTGCATCTGAGTAGATTCCTAGCTTAAGACCCTTTTTGTGAACATAGTCTGCTAGAGCTTTTATCCCGGATGGAAAGGTTGACTTCCTAGCCACTAGATTACCCTGAAATTGATTAGAGTGAGTTAGCTATTGCCACATCACCTTTTAATTATCCTTCATAGGAGAAACGTTTCTAGTTTTCTAAAACCTCTAACTGCTTATATAGGAAAAGAGGCAGGGGCTATGATTAACTTTAAAAGAAAAATGAATACCTTCTCATCACGAGAAATTTCACCCCAGCAATCATCTAAGAAAGCAAGATGTTCAAGTATTTAGTCAGCCACTTCAAATCAATGATTCAAATGAAGGAAAATACTAGTAGTAATTTAGATTCGAGGCATTAAATATTTATAGCAGCATACCTAGATTAACATATTCATATCCAAGCTTGGAAAGCCCAGTTGAAACTAGAGCATCAGCTGTCAAAACGAACAAAATATTCAAGGTTAAGGTAGTGTATGCTGCAATAGACTGTTTTTCAAAGTTATAAACTATCTATGACTGTATCATCAAGCAACGAAATCTGACTGAGAACTGCATCACAAGCATTACCAATTGGTATATAAGTTTAAAAAAGAAATAACAGAAGAAGACAAATTAAATAGAAAAGGCATATATGGGTACAATATTTACCAGTTTTTCTGATCATTTTTTCGTCAATTTTGCAGTAGAAGTGATTCCAGCTATTCCACCTGCAGGGAAAAGGAAAGAAAAAGGACCTGATTAACCCAAAGTTCTAAAAGAAAATTATGCCTAGAGCAGAAATGATTAAGAGGAAAAAAGATTAAAATGAAAAACAGATACAAAACTCACTGTCGAATTTCTTATAACAAATGTAAATTAGTACATATTAATATTCCATTTTCCCTTATACCAAAGTTTTACCAAGCAGAATCATCCCTTTCTTCCGGCGAGAATAAGAGAATCAAGCCTTAAATCATCGCTCTTGTTGAAGTCGTGAAACAGAAAATCTCAGTAAAACATAATCAGAGTTCAATCTTGAACAGATAACCCATACCAAATCTTATCATTAATACAAGTACTAATTCACGCATGAATGCACTATCCCAACTCTGATCTAATGAGTACCGTAAATAATGTCCAATGCAGACGACAACAAACTGTCAAGAACAGTGGTTTTCAGTAAAAACATTCACTGTTCAACCTCCACCGACCAAGATTTTTGTAACAAGCAACCGATCCAAAAACAAGCATAAACAAGTAATGCAGTGAGTACAGATACAGTATTAAAACATATGAAGCAGAGTTAAACATAGCGCATACCCCATGGGAGGAGTCAATCCAACATCATTGGTCAGCATACTTCTCCTGCTGGTTGCTAGCGTCAAAGACGCCAACCCCATCACCATTATCATTGCTAACCCCAGGGCACAGCATCTCTTCCCCATTTCCGCCGCTGCTTTAAACTCTTCTCAAAAAAAAAAAAAAAACACAGAGTGATCTCTGGTATTTGTATGTATGTAATTATATCAACGAGAGAAGTAGTAAAAAGCACACTAAAGTGACTGGAACCTCAGTGAAAACTGTTATTTATAGAGTTTTCCGTGAAAGACTCCTGCACTTTATTCGCCATAATGCCAAAATTGCCCTTTGGACAATCATTTTATTATCTAATTACTGGATTAGGATTATCTTGGTATTATCATCTACGCAATAGTTTATGGAAAATTGTAAAAATGATGGAAAGACATTAAAGCAGTGGAAACAGTCCAAATTCGTAATTTCCAAAACTGAGAAAAAGATTTTCCATATCATTTTTTGACTCAAAAGATAATTATTGGCTTTATTTGCTTGCTCCGTATTAGGAGGTCTAGAGAATATTGAGGAAATATATATAAATTTTAGATTAAAGCCTCATCCTTAACTTTATTTACCTAATTTATCCAAATTTTAGCTCAAATTTCAACCACAATTATGCTTTTTGTTTATTATTTGAAAATGGACAGATTCCAATTTAAATGATAGATACACATGCCACAAAAAGAGAGTTGAACCAAAACTTATGCACTATTAATCTCAGTTTTTTTTTTCTTCTTTAGAGTAGAAATTATGTTTGTAGTTCACAATGGGGTTTTGGGTTGACAAGTATATATATTTTGTCTGAATAACAAAAGGGAAAATGACAGCAAAAAAACCAAAATCATTCTACAATTCTGAGGGTTGGTCCCAAAAATTTTGGCCAAAATTGGATTCTTGCATAAAGTGGTACAGCTATTTGAGGTTCATTTACCATTTGTTAAAACCCAGAAGAAGCTGCAATGGAACCCAGCAAAGGACATGGATATCCCCTTATAATCTGTCAAATAATTGTAGCAGAAAAATCACTTGCCCTACTGATTAGTGACCACACTTTTCAAAGCACTTTGCTGTTACGCATTGCTAGTTGATTGATCACCTAAGTCAATTCTTTATAAGCATTATTTTCCCCATAAATCAATGACTCGTCTTTAGTTTTAAAGCTCCAAAGAGCACGTGGCAAGCAAAGGGTGTAAGTAGAAGTTTCATGACTCTCAAGGAACAGAGACTCCATGACCCATATCTTTCTGGGAAGATATGGGTCAGTATTTGCCAGCTATTTTGTCCATCTTTTAATATTAAGTGCTTTTAATTCAAGATAAAAATAAATAAATAAATAAGTCCTTCCCTTAGAATGATGTAATGCTCCAGCCGAATGCATATTTTATCCTTTGAACCTTCAACATGGAAGTGTCCTTCTTGTTTTGGGTTTTCAGGAAAAGGATATGTAAATAATCCCTAATGGGATCATCACCTGTTATCCAAATCCATTAAATAATCTATGAGGGTAATATTGGATTGGACAAATTACAGAAAGATATTTCGTGATTAGTGACAAATAAATTAATTTATTCCCTCAGATTAAAATATGTTGACCGTGTAATATTTCCGTTTACATTGTGGAAACACCGTAATCTTTAGACACGTGGTCTATAAAAAACAAAGTAAATTTAAAAAAAAATAAAAAAAAGAAAGAAAAATAAATTCGAGCTTCTTCGACCAAAGATGGGTTTGGTTCTTTCTTCCTTCAACAATCGTTCCAGGTGGACAAAAATTGCATGTCAAGATCTCTCTAATTACTTTATAGGATAAGAAATCTGGTATTGTGATGTTACATAAATGAGATTAATAGTTGATGCACCAAACACTGTTAAGTTAGTTATGAGATAGTATTATATCATCTAAAAAAATAAATATAATTTTTAGATAGATATAAAAATAAATATTTTTAATTTTTTTTTAAAAATATATACATTTTTTGAATAATAAAAAAATATTTTTTTATCTCTCTCCCACCCAATCTCATTTTCTTTTCTCTTTTTTGTCCATTATCAATAATAAAAACCTAAATCTAGAGATTATTGCTATAATTAAACTCAAACTCTATCAAAACTTCAATGAAAGAGCTAGTGTTTATAATCGTTTTTAATTAATCAACTTAGTAATTTTTATTGATAACTCTTAATTTTCACATTGGGATAGATTTTGTAAAGTAAAGCAAATACAAAATGTATTAAAATATTGAGACTTGATATTGTTGTTTAATCCAAAGATAAAAAAAGTTATCAGAAAATCAACAAGAAAAATTAATCCTAGATTAAAAATAAAATAAAAAAGTACAACTAATTAAAATTCATTATCAAAGATAAACCTAAAGAACTAAAATTGAACCAAAGTCATTGGCTTGAAAATACTACATCTAAAATATCAGCTATTTACTAAAAACACCAAAAGAACCAAAGTCAAAGTAAGCTTAACCACTTAATAGTTGTTAATTTTTCATAATTTTCCTTCTATTGAAAATTAATCATTAGTTTTTCTTCATCTTTCTGTCCGATAACAATATTAAGTCTCAATGCAACAGTTTCACAACATTTTGTGTCCACTTTTGCTTAACAAAATCTATTTCATTGTGAAAATTAAGAGTAATCAATTGAAATTTATGGGTTAATTATGAATGACGACAACGCCCGTTTTTCCTTTCAAGTTTTGATCGAATTTGAGTTTAATTATAACAACAATTACTATATTTAGGTTTTTATTGTTGATAATGGATGAAAAAGAAGAAAAGAAGAAGATGAGTTTGGGTGAGAGAGACAGTTGAAAAGAGATAAAAAAAAATTAATTTAATCTTTTTAAAGAAAATTGATAATATTTATTTTTAAGTCTTTTAAAGAATTATATTTATTTTTTAATGAAGTGACATTATCTCATAATTTGACAATGTATAGAAACTATACACTATCAATGTATCAAATATAAAGTTAAATAATATCTTATATATATGTAATTTAATCTTATTCATATTTTAATTCTAATTAATGACCTAACCAATTAATAATATTGTATTTTAATTATATCACTGAATTTATACAATTATCTTAACGTCCTCTCAAATGATTCGATAAACATGAAAGTCAAACATGAAGAGTCCTCAAGTCACACGATAACATGCAGAGTGATTATCAATGTCAATACACTTGGCCCATTTATGAAACACATGATGGCATGATAAGTATCTGTATAGCCCTTCTATTATTTCAATGAAGTACGGTGGCAAAAGGGTGTGCAATGCCCATATCCTCTAGTCTATAAAATAACTCTGAAGTGGCCTCCACGATAGCAAGATCTGATTCAGTACTAGATTGGGCAGTAATTATTTGTTTCTTGCTACACCAAGAAACGAGAAAATAACCTAAAAGGAAACAATAACTAGTGGTAAAACGATGATTGATAGAATCACTCACCTAATCAACATTCGAATACCTACATAAAACTAGAGAAGAATGAACTGAGAAGTGAAGTCCAAAGAACATGAAGATCTATTGAAAAATGAGACAAATGCAGTCATAAATTAATTGACTAAATGAATAACATAAGTAATATCACCTCAAGTCATTATGAGACAAATCGAACTCTTAATAAATCGGCGATGTAAAGTAAGATTAGGAAGAAGAGTTCTATCTATCAAAGTAAGTTTAGGTATCGATAATGTCAACCCGAGAAAGTAAATCAGGTGCATACTTATGTTTGAGAAAGATAGTATCCATTAGTATTGGAGGAAACCTCAAGTTCAAAAAATAACTAAGAGAATCAAGATCCTATGTTTCAAATTGTTGTATATGAAACTGTTGTAATTTTGCAATACATGCTGTATAACCACCGGTGATGACATATCATCTACATAGAGAAGGAAAAAAACAATGCAATGAGTAGTATGAGTTTTTCTCAAGAGCTTGAAGCTCGTCATCTATTAACTTGTTGCTAATGATAGGACTGAGGCTCATGCAAGGTTACAAACAGTACAAAAGCAATGATAATTGTGGAGATAATGAGGAGTGTGTTTCACTCGGGTAGAACAACGAAGGGTTGGAATCAGCACAGTATCAAAAACCAACTTAGATTTTACAGGGACAAGAGTAGGAGCGAGAATATGAGTAAGCTCATGAGAAACAGTTGTAGTAGAATGAGGATATAACTGAACAAACGTGTCGGTCAAAAAACCAAGAGGGACTGGAAAAGGGGGAAAGGAGTTTGATAGAGAAGAAAACAATGTCTTCCCAAAATGTGACAGGAAGCTGAATACAACTTTTTTGTCGGTGGCGTGGTGACGTGTGGATCAGTTTGTTTTTCTTTCTTTCGATATTTTGTCAACAGAAATATGCCAGAAAATCTACTTCAATCACAAGTGGACCAAAGAAACAAAAGAGGAAATAAACTCACACAAGTGAGAAAACGTAGTCTGGAATGGCAGGCATGCCCCTGCCATTTCATGCTGTCGCCCCTTGGACCAAACACGAGAAGTCCAGAAGACCCAGGCCAATCCTAAAGCCCAAAAGAGTTAAGAATTTGCAGATTCATTAAGCAAAACCCAAACCAAATCAAATTATTTGGATTCCATGTGCTTGCTGTCGGTTTGGGCCAATACTTGGAGATTTCCCTATGATGTACAAAAACTATCGAATTTGAGTTTCACAAAACCGTATTGCAAACACAGCTTCATATAAACTACAACGATGGGTGACTGGATTTCAATGAATGACACCGTCTCGCTGACGAAATGGTAAGAATCTTCAAGTTAGATGGAAATCTAATTATACAAATAAATAAATCAAACCATAAACAGGAATAAAGTAGCATCCAGAGACCCCCTGCTTGTTATTTTCATAACAGGCCGCATGAAACATAATAAAATATTGCAATTCATTGTAACATCAACTAGCAAAATATCATAAGGGAAAATAGGCAGATCAACAAAATAGAATCCTGTACCGTAGCTCAGGACATCAGGGAACTAGCTGAATCCTTTACTAAAGAGTTGAACTAGCATAAGCATAGAAGATCATAAAAGCCATATCAAAAAAACCGCCTCTGAAGTCAATAAATGGATGCTGCATACTCTTACATTATTTCACTATGCAGATCTTAATAACAGAAGCAGCACCAATTCGGTGAAGTGCAACAACAGCATCACCGGGCTTGCACAACCCCTTCTCTGTAGCTGATGTTAAGGCAGCTTCCAAGATAACCTCGGTAGATTCTGCATCAGTTGCCTTGGCTGAGCCTTCTGCCAGTAGAGGAACCAAGCCCCTGTATATCAGACTATGTCTTGCTGGCCTTTCGTCACTGCAAGTCCAATCAAATGAATCGGTTGTCAAGACTGGGACAACCACAGATAGGATAGGGACAGCTGGTCTGTACTTGGCAACCAATTTGGCTGTTGTTCCACCTCGTGTCAAAACAACGATAAGCTTAGCTTTAGCCTTGTTAGCTGTTCGTACAGCTGAGGATGCAAGACTTTCCAACGGGCTCATCGGAAGTGGTGTTGATCGAATCATTTCTTTGAAGATTGCTCCATAGTCAAGGGAGGATTCTGCCTCAATGCAAATTCGAGCCATAATCTTCACAGCCAGCTCTGGATAGGATCCAGCTGCACTCTCACCGCTAAGCATGACACAATCAGTGCCATCAAGGACAGCATTAGCGACATCAGTAGCTTCAGCACGCGTTGGCCTTGGAGACTTAATCATAGATTCAAGCATTTGAGTGGCAGTAACAACAGGCTTGCCTGCAAGATTACACTTGTATATCATCATCTTTTGTGCAAGGAAGATCTTCTCCACTGGAATCTCCATTCCAAGATCACCCCGAGCAACCATAAATGCATCAGTCTCACGCAGGATCTCATCAAAGTTGATGACACCTTCCTGGTTCTCAACCTAAAAGAATCACAATAGCCATATCAGTCATCAGTCTAAAAACAGATACAAAGAAAGCAAGAAGACTCATCATGACCGATGAAACTCATATGCTTCTGGGAATGCAGAACAACAGCAAAGCAGGCACTAACTGCATTCAAGTTGTAATTAGGTCCAAATATTATAATCTGTGTGGTCAAGCAGTAATTATTTTCTAGAAGAATGGAAGGCCCTACTCTGCTGGAATAAGATTAAGAACAACAGCAGCATCCCCAAGGAAACCTATAACCATTAACAATTAAATTGCATAAAGAAATCACATAAAATCTCATTATTAATCATGATTGAAAAGTGAAAAAGATCAACATACCTTCGACATCAATTGTATCTGCTTTGCATGGGGACCAAGGACCTTACGGACATTAACAAGATCAGACCCTTTGCGTACAAATGAAAGAGCAATCATATCAATATTGTTGGGAACTCCCCATCCCAAGATGTCTTCCTTATCCTTCTCAGTGAGTGTTGGAAGATCCACCACAATACCAGGAAGGTTGACATTTTTTCTCTCACCAATCATTGCAGTATTTTCACATCGGCATCTCACAGTCCCACTAGCAGGATCACAGGATAACACTGTTAGTGTGATTGTACCATCTGCACATAAAATGGTATTTCCTGGCTTCAGGTCAGCAGCCAACTTTTTGTAGCTCATGGAGATCATCTTCTCATCTCCCTTGATATCATAATCAGTGGTTACAGTAATTTCCTGGCCTTCCTTAAGTTGAACAGGTTTCCCGTCCTTTAGGAATCCAGTTCGAATCTCAGGTCCCTGCAACATCAAAACACAGTCAACTACAAACTACCAAATGAAGAAAGAAAATACACATGTGAGAAGAGCTGAGAACAAAGAATTCAACATCCAAACACAATGCCAACCTCTTTACCTAAAAGAGGGAAACCAAAAATCCCGATCTTAGGACCCATTATCTTCGATTTTGAGTTTATTATTGGCACATTGGGTTACTAATGCAGAAGAATTTCTGGGCTCAATAAAGTCCAATGGCTCCAAAGGATTTCTTTCTTATTTATTATTTGCCTTTTTTTTCCCATTCACAATGAAGTTACTTTCACAAGATATTTCTAATTAGAAAACAAAATGTACAAAAAACACAAAGCTTAAGCACTTAAAAACATCTTCATACAGATAACGCTAAAATCATAAAACAAGGAGATAACAATAGGAAAACGGACCTTGGTGTCAAGCATGACGGCGCATAGGATGCCAGTATTGTGCATAGCAGCCCTGAGATTGTTCAAGGTCTCTTGATGATACTCATGGCTGCCATGAGAGAAATTGAAGCGGGCAACATTCATCCCAGCCCTCAGCAGCTTCTCTATCATTGGCACAGACCGCGAAGCCGGACCCAGAGTACAAACGATCTTGGTTTTGGGGACACGGCCATCGTTGGGAAGCTCTTTCAAGATTCCATCAATGTCTATATTTGCCATTGACTTTGATTTGCTCTGCTCGCTTACTTACAAAAATATCTGCACTCATTATCAACAATCAAAATCATCAAACAAGCTACTTTTCAAAGTAAAAAATTTTTTAAAAAATAAAAGCAAGAGAAAAATGTGTTCTACAGTTAAAAATTTGGTGTAGTGGTTTCATAATAAAATTTGAGCAAACTGAAGAAATAATTGGGTAAAAAGAAAAAAAAACATAAATTAAAATGAAACGGGAAAAAGAAATCATTTTTCATTGACAAGATCTATCAAAGAACTAAGGCGATTTACACAAAAAAAAAAACACAAGATATGGGGAAAATAAAAACAAAAATGAATGGCATAAACTGAAGGAAATGCAAATAATTTAATAAAAAAAAAGACAAACAGAAATAGATATGAATAAGGGAAGAAATAAATTACGATTGTAAGAAAGAGAGGCCGTTAGGTTCGGTCTCTCGGGAGAGATATCAGATCAGCAGATAGAGATCGTTTATGACATAAACACAAGCAAATAAACCCCAACAGAAACTTCAAAAAAAAATTGCGAAGTAGACAAAGATATCTATGATTTTATAAATAAATAAGAAGTAAAAGGGGAGGGAAGAGGGGCTTACCGAACAACTCAAGGCTCGTGGGTTTACCAAACTAAACCCAGTTAAAGATTTAGAGAGAGAGAGAAAGAGAGTACAGAAAAAATCTGTGTTAGAGAGCAGAACAGAACAGTGGGTATTGCTGGTGGTGGCTTTTTGTAACAGGACAGAATTGGAGAGTGTTTAAAAAAATTGGGAAAAAAAAAAGAAAAAAGAGAAAGTTAGCCATTCGAACACGTGGTGGTAGATGGGCACATTGGAGATTTGAATTAGACAGGTTCTTAAAACGGTGCGAATATACTGCTGTCTAATTGATGCCAAGGAAATTAGCGGCTCCAGTTTAGAGGAAATGTTTTCAAATTACTATTTAAAAAAAAAACAAAGGGGGCACGCACGTGATTGGGGAGACAATGATATCGTACCGTGCGAGTGGAAGGGCTAGTACGAGCCGAACCATACAGTAAAAGAGGTAGGCACGGTGTGTCTTCGTTGCTTGTTTTCCCTACTCGTGTCTGTGTGCGTACCCCACGTTTTTGACCTCTGCGGTGTGGCCCCTCCAATGCCCACTCTTTTCAGCCCTTTTATCATTCCTCGTCTGGTTTAACCCAACCCACTCCAAAAATGACTCTTAAATTATTATTGTTAATTGTTAAAAAAGCCAACTTGTTTCCTACCAGGTTCAGGAATCGGGGATTGGACCAGCAGCAGCAACGCTAATCACATGCGTTTTCCTCAAAAGCTGAGATTTATTTTGCCCTCAATAATTGAATTCAATAGGGAGTTTTCCGGTTAAGCCTTAGCCCCTCTGGAATGGACTCTTGGTGTAGCCTTGATGGTGAAATGTCCTGACCCTTTAGCCAACAGAGTATCAAAGTGTTTCTTGGTTTGGGGGGAAAACTAAAACATCTGTTGGGACTTGGAAGGACCGCCCTTTGAAAAAGGCAACAGATGGACTTTTCAGAGACGTGGAAGGACCATTGCCTCCCCACGCCTTCTAGTAGCGCTTCCGTCTTCACCACCATTTCTTATTTTCTTTTTGTTTTTTAGGTCAAAACCGCTCACCAACATTTCTGCCTCTTACTGTTTACACTTGAAAATTAAAATCATTAAAAAAGAAAAATTGAAACCTTGGAATGCTACATTCCATTTATTCAAATACGTTTTACAGCCACCAAGCCGGACCAGAATAATCTGCTAATCACATCAACAGTTTTATATAAAAAATTTTAAGGTTGGATATCTTGCAATAGATATTTAATCATATAAACAAATTTAATATAAACAAGAAATTCGCCTCTCATCCATTACTTTTAAATAAACCTTTTAACATAAACTAGTATCATAAATCATCTTCAGTCTAGAATACTGTCCAAAATCAACTTCAACAAGATTATAAATGACTGATTAAGAGTAGATTCAACCCGATGGTAAAACTTGGTCAACTTCATACTCAAAATTGCAATAGTTCATGAAACTAAAATTCAACTCAATTCAAAATGGTCACCTAATAGGATATAAGTAGTAACTAAATTACATTAACTATACCAATTTTACCAATCCATTTTAATTCCAACTCCAAAGTTCATACAGAGTCTGTTTCAGTACCCACTTTTCAAATGGAAAGATAAAAAAATTGCACTCAAATAAAGTTCCAATATGTTGTGCTCTGAAATTTCATCCATGTCTTTTTGATTTTCTAGAATTTTAGTACTGTGACCTTTTTGAATTTCAGAAACATGACCCAATTTGCAGCTGTAGACAACCACGTAATAGCCAGATTTCATGCTTCTTCCACCTAAATTCTGAAAAGAAGTTGATACAAGTTGGTCCATTTTAACGCCAAGAGACAAATTTCATACAAAATCTTTCTAATAGATAACTAGTATTTTTACAGAGTAGCCAAACCCAGAAACTGTTACACTTCATTGTTAGCCAACAGAAAAACATTTCAGTTCTCGCAGAATATCCACACGGTTACTTTTGACCACCGATAATAATGGTAAAATGCATTGCAATTCAGATTTTCAAACCTTGCACACTGTTATCCAGACTCTCTCTCATACTCGTTTTGGTGGCACATACTGCACGTGCACTTCTTCACATAAATTCTGTATCAAGGAAAACAACTACTATCAATGTGCACAATACATAAACCACAGAAGAAAATGCCTTGAAACTTTAGGCAAGTTGTTTTCTAGTTGCAAGAGGAAGTAGATATGCACTTAATGCTTTCTAGTGAAAATTGATAAGATAAGAGGAATAGCCAATGAGTTTCTTTTTCGTTTTACCATAAATACCAGAATTCAAAAATGGATAGCTGGATAGGCAGAAATTTAGCCAACATCTTCATTTTCATTTGCTCATTTCCAGCACCAAAATCGTCAAATTTATAGCACATGGCATGGCTTAAAAGATAGATTGAACAGTTCATGCGAAGTCTACCTCACAATACATGTGTATCTTAGTAAAAGTCATTAAATATTTATAAGAGGGAATAGATTATATTCCCATCACAAGATATTTTCTAGTGCAAATCAATAATATCACCTTAATAATTAAATATACAAATAACAATAAGATTGAATAGGAAAAGAAAAGATTTTGAACTGATCTAAGGATGCCAAAGTGGTTCCCAGAGATGACACACGAATGAAGGGAAAAAGGAACTGCATATTATCATAGACCTAATGATAAAGATAGTTAAATACATCACATAGCACATTGTGTTTCATATTCACCATTCTTGACATTTTCTTTCATAAAAAGAGGTAAGCAGGAATAAGCTAACTGGCATTATATTTCCAAGGAAATAAAAAAAAATTAGAGAATTGCACTCAAGAAGAGAAACCAAACCTGCAAGTCCTCTGGAAGTGCCTCTGAAACTGCAAGAGTGTAACAACCGGGGACAAATCTTCCTGAACAAGATTTAAAGAAATGTCACAGACCCAAAATATATATAAATCAGATATAATATACTAATGTTTGAGGCATCTAAAATAAGGAAAGATATAAGAAGAAACATATCAGAAAGCAGAAAAAAAGTAGAACAGAAGTTGAGTGATCAACTATTCTGTGGTGAAAACTATCATTGAGGCCTCAAGGCTCTGGTGCCTTGTAAAGTCCAGAAGCATTCCTAGAGAGTTGATTAATTCAACAATCATCCTAGAGAACAGGCTTCAAATTCAAGGTTTTAGGCAATTGTATATGGACAATGAAAAACAACAGTAAATTAAGCTCACACCATAAAGTATCAAAACAGAATTTTAAATCACACTAGCCTCCATTCTGCATTCGAAGAAGGCTTTTAAATTTCCAAACAATTACTGGAATATTTCTCCACAGCAACAACAAAGAAAAAGAAACAGAAAACTTTGAAATTATATACACGAACAAAATAAGTGTAGGACATACCAATTCGCAGCCAACGAGCAGCCCAACTTCTAGTCGGGTCCATAACAGAGATTATCCTAAAAAACCAATCAGAAAAAGGATATTCAAAAGCTACACTCAATATAAAGGTTTTCCTTTTAAAAGGGGAAAAAAAAGTAAGATACCCATTGAAATTAGCAGTCGTGCAATCGACGACGCGCTCATGATCCTCATCCATCTTAAAGAATGGGCAGTTCTCACATCCGGATTCCCTAAACTAAAATTTAAAAAGCCATAAATTAATATATAAAACTCTTCGAGTATGAAACTGTTGAAAGCAAGAGGAAACCCTAACTCAAAACAGAAAAAAACCTGATCGTAGGTTTTGACGAGGCGGCAACGAAGGCAAGCCCTGAGCTCGTGGCCGAAGCTCGTTGGAATCTGAGCGGGCGCGCTTCCCATTGCTTTTCCGCTTTCCTTTCCAGGGAATTCCCGGCTTCAGTCTTCAGCAACAAAAGGAAGAGCGATAGAAGGATCTTTTTCCAGAATTTTGTTTGATTATTGATATTTCTTTTCGTTTCAGGACTCAACGAGGCACAAGCAACGCAGGGAGTCAAGGAGACGAAGCTACTGGAGCTAACTGTTCTCGGCCCTTTAGAGATGGGCTGGGGTTCTAATGACCTGGCCCAATCTCCAGACCGTTTGATAATCACCAATTCTAGCGATGTTTGTCACTGCAACGTTTGCCTAACCATCCCGATACAAAGTTTCCATTCTTTTGCAGTTGTTCTTGCAGCAATTAGCGACTTTCAACCAATGAAAACCTTATAGCCATCCCTCTTTTTAAACGAATACGCTGCTTATATTTATCTTGGTCCTTTTACGGGTAAAAGCCTCGCCAGTTAGGGGAAATTTATAGCAGCTATGGAAGTTCAGAAACAATTTAATGTACCTCAAGCTTTAACAAGCCATCAACATATGCCAAGGATCTATCCTCCTTTAGATTTTATGTTTTACGCCAGCGTTTTTGGGACCTAAAAAAAAGGGAAATAAAGTTGAAAATTAATCTAACAATGCAATAACCTACATCAGGATCAAAGGCCGTGAAGGAGAAGTAATGGTTATCAAGCTGAATGTGTCATAGCAGATAGCTTTGGCCTTTTGCCTGCTTTTGGATGCTAAAGAACAGAAGCAAATGATTGTAGAATTTACACAAATGTCAATGAAGGTGCTACAACTTGAGGAATTATTTGACAGCGTACGAATTCTTTCAGCTCCTTCCATTACAGTGGTGGATGGCACCATTGCTCTGATCTCTGTGTTTCAAGTTAAAGTGATCTAACCCCCAAATTCGAATTGTTCGGTCATCACTAGCAGAAGCAAGCATGTGAAGGTTTGCTGGATTCCAGCTCACACAATTAACAGCTCCAGAGTGTCCAGGCAGTGCCAATAGGAGCTCCCCCGAGCATCTGTGCCATATGTACACCTGCAACAAGAAACAATACACCCTCATTATTAATGCAAAGACATTTTCTAGTGCCATATGATACAATTTAATCTATGATAAAAGCGACAGCAACTAGAATTATATTAGTTACTCAATAATCAACACAACAAACTCAGAACAGTTAATGTTTATCCCACTAGAGTGAATATTTAAAAGGCTGACCATCATGCCGTTCACAGAAAAGCATACACCTAAAAAAATGACACTCGCAGACTATTCTTGGACTTACCCTTCAAATGCATGTGCACCAAAGTCAAGTGACTCGTGAAAGTATAAACAGAAAACAAATTTTGCAGGTAGCAGCATTTTGATAATAGTAACATCAAATCAGCTTTTCATGACATGAAAAAAAGTACCTGTGAATCCTCACTACCACTTGCAATAAAAGCTTGCCCCAAACCGCCAAAACAAGATCTAATTACAAATCGGGTACGTTTGTGACCTTTGTACTTCAACACAAGTTTAGGATCACCTTCTATGCTCCAGAGATGGATTTCTTGGTTTATAAGATTGACCAGTAAGAACTTATTGTCTTTTGATAATGAGAATGAAGTAATCATGTCCACCTCTTCAATCAGTCTCTCAAATTTTGCTTCCCTGTCAAGCAACAGTATAGCAGATTCTCTGCATATGCTTATGATCCTCTTACCATCATCAGTTATGGCCATATCTGAAATTTTAAGTGTCCTCTGTCCTTTCCAGCATTCCAGCTCTCTTCCATCCATATCCCAGAGGCAGATGCTCCTGTCGGTCATCCCCGCAAATATCCCTCTACCATCAGGAAACCATCCACAAGAAATCAAACCTACACCAGATTTTTCATAAACATGGAGGCATTCCCCAGAACTGACATCCCAACGCCTGATACCCTCCTCTTGTCCACAGGTAAGGATTTGGCTATCATCCGGGCTCCACGAAACGGTTAATACTGGTTTCTGATGGCCGCATAGAGTATGCTTCAGAGACCCTTGACCATTTTCGTTAAACTAAAAAGTTAAAAAAGAATAAAGAAATAAATTAATTAATCGAAAGAGGATAGTTTGAAGTTGCATGCATGATTATCAGCATTGTAGGATATAGTAATGCTGCATATCAACATTGAACTCTCAACATATTCATTTTAAAACACGTAATTTCCTCAAAATATGCTTACGAGAGCCTAGCTCAATCCATACCCACTAAAATCCTTATTTAGGGGATCAAGGACAGTGGTTCAAACCTCTGCAACAGCTAGGAACACTAACACATTTCCTGAAAATGACACACATATAAAAATTTGCATGCCAATATGCAAAAGAAATATGAATATTTCCAGCTAATTATTTCAAATCCAATAACAAGGGAACCATCGAAGTTGCATGGCACAAGGTGTCTGTCTATGCCCATCATTGTTCAGGCATAAATTATTTATTGTCGCTGAATCATAATAAATTAACCAATAAGCAAACTCTAGCACATATCATTTGATCTTATCCATGTTTCTTCTTTAGCCTACAACAATAACAACTTCTGACAAAAAGAGAGTAACAGGGCACATAAGGGCAGAATCCCACAAATGAGTGCTGCCTAAAACATAAGAACCTTGGAATAGGATATGAAAGGTCAAGGCCAAGCCAATTATAAAGAAAAAGATTACCTCCCATATAATTGCCAACTGATCCTTGGATGATGAGGCCAAATATTTTCCATTGTGTGAGAATTGCAAAAACCAAACTTCATCATTGTGCGCTTGTAGTATCTATTTCATTGATATAAAGAGAAAATTTTCACACTGCCATTCTTTTGTTAGTTAATGAGAATCAAATCCACAGCACGCATTATGAGAGACAATATGCGGTATTAGAACAGAAGCAAAAATTTAAAAAAAAAAAACATATAAGTCTCTTGATCATAAAACCAAGTTGAAATTAACAGCAAGAGTAAGAACACCGAAAGAATAAAAAGATTAGTGCTGAACATAGCTGCACTCCTAATCAAAGCGGGCAACTTCTCTACAGCATAATAGCATGAACCAACACAAATAACTATTTCCATATGCTGGAGCTTGCTAGATCAGTAACCAGAATATATTACACCCTAGACCCAAAAGATGAAGTCCAATTTATTCTGCTACGGGAAAGGGCAGATATAGGGAGTGCAAAGGCAGCAAATTAAACTACCATCCACTTGAAAAACTCTAACCTGCAATGTCTGGGAAGGAATCTGACTTTTCCCACAATAATGATCTGAGTACAAAGAGAGATCACTATCTGAGGTATTGTGGAACACACAAGCCCCTCGTTGAACATCAAGTGCCCTTTCAACCAGATGTTCTAACCTTTTTTCAGGAATCATAACTGCAGCAGGAAGCAACTTTTGTAGTTTTTCTAGAATCTTTGCCCTTGACTTCGTCCCCTCAGTATCTTGACCAGAAATCCCAAGTCTTACACATTGCAAAGGAGAGATGATACAGGCAGCAAGCTCATGAACCCGGTTCATATTGATACGAAGAGGCACAATCTCTTTCCTTAGTGTATCCAATGCAGCAGTGACGTTTCCAATTTTCAGAAGTTCAAGGAACTTCTGTTCCAATATCAAGAAAGATGCTGATTTCACAATTGTTTCGTCTGAGACACCAATCATATGCAATGTGGCAACACTATCATCCCACTTACCATCTGTCACTTGCTGCATAAACAAATTAACCACTGGAGAATGCAACGGTATTCCAGATTCCTCCTCCAAAAGGGCACCACTTTTGTCATAACCAAGTGAGTACAATGCCCTAGTTATAATTTTAATAAATTCAGCCTTTTTGATAACACCTTTTGAACCTATTGTTTCCCCATCCCCTTGGGAGGTTAGAGGCCTAGCCATCTGGTCTCCCAAAGAGCAAGAAACAGGTTCTGCAGTCAAATGATCCCCTGGTGAGCTCTTTGATTCTTCGAAGGGCCCTTTCACACGTTTCAAGGGTGGTTCGGTATCTTCTATCACTCCCATGAAATGCCTAACTCAGCGCATAAATTTCCTACAAGTCAAAAAGCAAACAAATTATTATGGTAGCAATCACATTTGAGTAGTAGCTAAGAAACAGAATAGCTGGTGCAAAGGCTCCACGATTTAATAAGAATAAGAAGCCTAACATCAAGCATTTAATTGATTGACAATAACATTATAATTGCAACATAACAGAAAAAGAAAAGTTCCAAGCAATAATTTTCTAAAGATAGAAAAAGGGGACAAAGAATTAGTTGTAAGTAACAACAACCTATTGCCCTTCTCAGTCGTCAGATTAAGGACTCATTTGACTAAGACAAAGAATTTTTGTACTATAATTAATCAGATAAAATCAACCCAATACAGTTTAATTGATGCGAATTATTTATTTCATAGTAATTTTAGCATGGCATAATTGATTGTTTCTTTGTTAAACCATAATTTGCTAAAATGAGAATTAAAACAAATCTCCCAACAACAAAACCCACCAACCTTCCAAAGAAAGAAAATTATAAATCATTAAGAAGGAAAGAAAAGGGATAATTCTAGTGAAATTTTATGTTCTTGATAAGTAAAATAGAGATTAAATAAAATAAAATTCCTACGAAAATTAAAAAAAAAAAAGTTCATTCAAGAAAGACAGGCAAATTCAACGATGAACAAAAAGAAACAAAACTGTCCCCATAAACAATTCGTCAAGTACGAGGATTAATTATAATAATTAAAATCCAGGAAGACAACAACAAAGAAATGAAGACCTTTTTTTACCGGCGAAGAAAAATAATTACCCACCGGAACGCATTCCCAGTGAAACGGAACGGAAAAGAGAGGGAGAAGCCAAATTGCAGTTCGTGTTAAAGAGAAATGTGAAGGACAAGGAGAAGGGAAGGGAAGGGAAGAGAAGAGAAGGGGGAATGTAGATTGAAGGAGAATACCGAAAAGCACCACCACCGAGAGCTATGTATAGAGAGCATAGAGAACAGTGACAAATTAACAATTACTAAACGTTCTTTTTCCTTTTACGTAAGAAAAAAAATGAATTTAAGCAGTTGGCAAACGGCAAAGCAAAAAGATTGAACAAAGTAAATTAGATGCAATTAAAAAATATAATAATTTAAAATTTTTTAAATTATTTAAAAATTTAAATTTTATATTTTTATTTTAAATTAAATATTAATTATTAATTAATTATTACTAATTAAAATACATATTTATCATGTTTTATGTAACGTTGAGATGATAATAATGAAGATAAAAAATTACATGATTATATTATTATGTTATATTAATTATATCAATATTTCATGATATATAATAATAAATAAAATTATTATTATTATTATTAATTTTATTTATTTATAATAAAAATGTATTTAATTTAAAATATAAATGTAAATATTTAATTTAAAATATAATAAAAATAAAAAATTATTAAAATTTTCTTAATAATTTGAGTTTTTATTAAAAAAAGAAAGGCTTTGGATTGGACGATGGGGTTCCAACCCCAAAACCGCCTGCTTGCAGCCCACGCGGGATGTGGCCGTAGCCAGCGGCTACGACAAACAATTGCTTGATGGGTGTCGTGCGAGTGAAGCCTGCGCCAAACAACGGTTTAGTCATGTTGCTTACTCGGTTAGATTTGCTCCGACCTTAGAAATTGGGATTGGGCTTGGATTAACCAAGGATTTAAAAAAAAGGAATTAGTAGTTGTATTAGATTATCCTAAAGAAGAGAATAAAGAAAGAAGGATTAGGAGAGAAGATAAGATTTGTGGTATCTTGTCGTGTAGGTAATCTTTTTACCGCGAATGCAAATAGAATTGAATATATGAATATGCAAAGGCATTTATTAGCATATGGCTATTACATACACAAAAGAATATTCCTTTCCCTTTGATTGGGAAAATGAGAATACCACCATTTTAGGTTATAATATAGCTTCCTGTATTTATATAGTTGCCGTTTTGTTTTCTAATATTTGTTGTCTCATTTTCATTTTCAAATTATAATATGAAAGATTTTATGAGATAGATATATGAAACAAATTTGGTTATCCCACGCCACCTACAAGCTTGCAAAAATACTTGTACTTTGGTCAGCCTGCCATCAATGAACAATTCTAAATTGCTCCTTTTCTGTTGCTTTTACTCCCCATTCTTTGTAAAAATGATTGAATATCTTCGTCTGTAAACTCATTTTCAGCTTTTAGCATATGCTGAAAGTTCCTGCATAAAACTTAAAATCCTGAAATTAATTAATCTAACTAAAACTCTTTATGACATATCAAACAAACAGACTGTTGTATGAATAGATTATCAGATGAAGAAAATGATTATATCTGTAAGAAGCACCACACCAATTGCTTCCAATGGTCTTGCCATATCACCACAGGTAGCCATCAAGATGAAATCGAAGGCCAAAGGTTAATTGGATGAAGCAGCAGTGTTGTTGGCCCTTTCTTTCACCATGGTCTTAACAAAGAGCTCCCCTGCCCTATATGAGGATCGAACCTGCATCAGAGAAGTGCATATAAGATTTTTTTTATTTATTTTTACATATTTTGCAGTATTGGGAGCCTTGATGGATGGACTCGAGCAGAAGTTAGTATAACAATGAGGGGCCTAAAAAAAGAAACAATGTCTCGAGAAGTGATGCACAGTAGGCTGGTAGCAGACTCTTCATTCTGTAGCCAATTTCGAAGAAACTCGAATTGATTTGATTAGAACAGTGGAATCTCAGATTACTTCAATCTGGCAAGTATAAGTTCCTTTCTATGTTCATTCAAAGGAGATTTGAAATCCATGATATGCAAGCACAATCATCATCTATAGCAATGAATTACAAAGAGCTTACCAGGGGCCCACTGGCTACATAACGAAATCCAATCGACTCCCCATATTCCTTCCAGAAAGCAAACTTTTCAGGCGTAACATATTCTTTGACAGTCAAATGGAGTGGTGTAGGCTGCAGAAACAAGAGGGCATTTAAGTTGATACTAGGTTTCACTCTCAGATAAGTTACAACGAATATAATGCCGATAGTCTGACACAGATAACTTATGAAGTGACAACTTCAGCTATTATGGATATCGACTAAGGTAGGATGGTCAACACAGGAGCAGTGGCAAGCTTAAACAGTCTTTTGCAACATCATGATGATAATGATGATTAAATAATAAAGAGACAACTTGAGCCACTAGAGAAACATCAACTAATTTAAGAAAATGAAAAGCAGGAGCCACTAATCATTAACAATCTTTAGCACAGCACGAAAATTAGAATCACCTAATCATGTCCAAACACTGCTAGTTCACCCAGAATTAAGGTCTGATATAGGCAGGATTCAGGCTAACTAGGTCCATCTATCTTCCAGCCAAAGTTCTCATGCTTGGGCATTTGCTTACGCTAGACATATTTGCCTGTAAAATTTACCTGTAGATATTGTCCAAGTGTGAGAATATCAACATCTATAGCCCTTAAATCAGCTAGGGCTTCCTTTAACTCATCATCAGTTTCTCCAAGGCCAAGCATTATAGAAGATTTTGTTATCATTCCTTCTTTGCTGAGCTTTGCATGTCTTAGAACTGACAAGCTCTGCTTATACCTGCAAAATCAAACAATGTAGACTCTTAACTAGCAAGTACAAGCACAATGATTTTGGTTCTCAGAAGACTGACTTCCAAACTGTTCAAAGCCTTGTGCTCTAAATACTTTAGAAGCCATCATATTGCCTCAATATTTGATTGCTAAATGTGTAATTGAAGTAACAGTTCCATAATTCAGTAAAGCACTAACATAATTGTCATTAATGCTGTGAACAAAAGCAAAAGCAAAAGAAAACGGAAAGCAAAAAAAATTCAAAGCATTTGTCTTATGTGACCCAAGAAATGCTAATTAGGAAGTCTTGGGTCAAACTAGATGGCACGTACAGAATCCTCCCCGGCTAGCATCAAAGTTGCACTAACTAATTTCTTGCGTTAACTAGTGTTCCAACAACTTTAAATGGTTGAAACTACATAAGAATCTAGAATCTTCCCACAAGAAATGTTGTAATACAAGCCTACTGTTGGCATTGGAGCATTTCCCCCATGAACAGAGTATTGAGCATATCTCCCTGTATAAACATCAGCTTCCTCTCCAAAATGAATCCAAGTTTATAAATCCCATCAGCATTTAGTTCCTCTTCAGGATTAGCTCTATTGCTCCAGAAGTGGGTTGTGGGTGGAACTTAAGATCTGCAAGTGCTTGAGACTACCAAGAACATTAAGGGACCCACACCAGTATACGACAGTACTATTTTGGTTTAAAAACTTAACTTCTAGGTGAAATAGCTCATTTAAACCATTTTTGTTTTTTATGTAATAATGACGATGCCCTAACACCTACATAGTTGAAGTGGAATGATGCTGCCCAACCATCATGGATGAGTGCACAACTTACCCAGCCCGAGGATCCCTGACAATTCTTTGGAGCCGTTTCACAGTTTCAATGTTGTGAGCAAAGACATCTAATCCTGAGTGCACCAGAATGTCTACAGCTTTCAAATCACCGCGGAAATCAGAAGTTAAACACTCAACCATGATCTCTGGCTTGAGTTTCTGTATGTAATCATATACAAAACCCATTATATTCCAAACTCTTCCTTTATGATATGCAACTAAGAACAAAAAGGTAGCTCAATGCTATAGCAAGGTAGATATACAACCTTCATCACTTGGACTGTCTGAGCAAAATGTCCACTTCCACCGTCAGGTAAATCATCACGATCTACACTAGTCAGTACAATATAATCCACACTGCAGATACAACAGCAACGAATCAAAAATTATGAAGATAGCACTCTTTTTAGATGAATTGAAAAACGATGAAGATGTGTGTCAGTGTGTGGCAGGAACATTAAGCACTGGGTAAAAGAATTGAGTGAAGCATAATCATTCTTAAATAATGGGAACTTAACAAGGCAAGTAATAAAAGACAGCAAAATTTTTATAAAGCCTACCCCCAACTCGCAATGGCCTTAGCTGTATTTTCAGGTTCCATGGGGTCAGGCGGTGCCGGGTTCCTACTGGTTTTAACAGCACAAAACCGACAACCCCGTGTGCAAGTGTCCCCAAGCAACATTATTGTCGCAGTTGCAATGCCATCCCCACCTCCATTCCAACACTGTCTTGCAAAATTAATTACTTAAAAATAGCTCTTAGTTAACTAGGAAAAAAAAAAGTTTAAAAAGAAGAAGAGAAGAGAGAATATACCTCTCCAATGTTGGGGCACTGTGCTTCCTCACAAACAGTATTGAGATTCAACCGAGAGAGAGATTGTTTAACCTCATCGAACCTCTGCCCCTGAGGAGCTTTCTGCCTCAGCCACTCCGGCTTCTTCAAGTTAGGATCTCTGCCCGTAAAGGGACCCATCTTTGGCATCCCACCCGGGTATGGCCCGTTTTGGGCGTCCGACTCCATCAGCTTCCCGGCCGCAGATAATGAAGTGGGTTGTGGTATTTTGACATCAATCTTCGACGCTGAATCCGAAGATTCACACCGGATTTTCACCTGTGAATACGACCATGATGGTTTAGAAGGTTTTGGGATGGGAATTGAAGCTGAGATTGAAGGTTTTGACATTGATACCGACATTTTCACTTTTTTTTTAACAACACCAAACTGGAAAATGGAAAGAGGAACAGAGTAGGGAGGTGTGCCGATGTTAATGTGTTAATTGTTGGGCATCCCAGATTTTGGTTTTCAGGAGGCCGTTGCTTTTGGGGGGCTTTGTTTTGTCCGCCTAACATAAGTTACCTTGTCTTGCTTTGTCTTGTTTCTGTGGGTTTCTGTTAAGTTTGGTTCACTTTGGTAGTTGGCTTGCTGTAACTGAACCCAAATGAATTGTTTGCACTTTCCCTGGGCCAGTGAAAAAGGAAAAATAAAGAGAATTATATCACGATCTCATGTTAATAACAAATACAATAAATCTTAAAATTTTTAAGTTATAAACATCAATATGTTATAAACAATATCAGAACATACCGAACTTACCCAACTCTTAATTTTTTCTATGAGACTGATGTGAGACCTTCCAAAAGATGAAAGACCAAAAAAAAGCTCGAACCAAGATAAACCCTTTCTTTAGAAGTAAAATGAGTCAATTTCTTATTACATAATTAAGTAAGAGAAAATATCACAAACAATTACACTAACGGAATCATTGCATTCAGCAAAATACGCATAGATAAATTTTTTTTTGACCTGTCTTGCTTTAACATACAGAATAAAATGCTACTCGTACCCAAATTACACCGTATAAGTGCATCTTGAGCAATTTCAAGATACAAAACTATCACAGTTCTTACACAAGTTTGAAGTTCATTTGAATTGTATAAAAATTGCTTACGATCTACCACATAAGGGAAGAAACTCATCAAAATCTTAGAGTTTAAATAACCCCAGAACAACATTGCCAACGAACATCAATTTCGGGTAAGTTTTTGGGTAGGGACCAAACTCTGGCATCCTCAAACTTTTCTTTGCACCTAAATTCATTTTCATTGCAATGGCATTATGAAATCAAACAGCATCAGATGAATCCTCGCTGGAATCTTCTGAATCTGAACCGTCAACCATCTTCTCAAGTGAATCCATATCCCCAGCTTCAGAGAAAGTGTGCAGCCGAAGTTTGTCTGCATCCTCGCTGAGAGAAAGAGAGAACGATTAGGTATTTCATACAGGGTACAAATCTTGATTTTTGTTTTGAGTATGCCATGAAGGTTAGAATAGGGAAAGCTATATGAAACACAGCATCTGCTAGTATTTCGATTTATTTCCATCATTTTAGTAAGAATCACATGTAGAATGAAAGTTAAATGGATAAGTCTTACTCTGTAACCCCAAATATTTCCTTGACAATTAAGGAGCTATCCCTCGAACAGAACTCTGGCAACTGGTCCAAAATTTCAACAAAAGCATAATCAATTTAATATCATATTTATCCATTCTCCTTAATGCATTCCAGATTCATGTTATTCTTTTCCCATATTTTGACTTTAATAATAGTAATTAGTCAAACTTCAAAGCTAACATCCATATATTAGCTCTCAGTATATAAAACAATTCATCCTTGTTCCAAATCATTTCAGAGACAATAAAACAGACGCTATTATAAAGCCCATAACACTTTGCAAGTCATTCAACTGTGACAAGTAACAGCGCATCTTCAAGAAAGCAGCAAAACCACTAATAGTGTACAAAAATATTTCTAAAATATCACTGGCGCTTACCTATGGAAAATCAAGTATCATATACATCAAATATGTATATGCTATATTTATTTCATTAGACTTTCAAAAAAAAATATACATTTATTTCATTAAGAAATGCTGACAAAATCCAGCAGAAATGATGGCATTAGGAAATAGGACCTGAAGCCGTGTGTTTAACAACATACCTCAGATAGATACAAAACCTTCCCAAAAAGGCCCTGCACAGCAAGCTTTCTCTTAAATCCCTTTTCTGTAAATCCTGACATGTCCATGACAACTGGGCCTGAAAAGTAAAGACAATTTAGCAGCATCAGATACAAAACTCTAACATGAAAGATGAATCATGTAAAATTTCACAGAAACTGCAAAAGGGAGATTTAAAAACGATATGAAAGCAAAGTCGACATTCTGTATCAGAATTTTCCAAAATATGTATCACCTTCAAAACCACCTATATTTTCACTTATGGTTACCAAACTTATGAAGGAAAATTACGGCACATATTATCATTAGATCATCATTATATTGGGCAAAAGGCAATGGTCTATACCAGGATCACACAAATAAGAGAAGCAGCAGTGCTGGCAGTTACCTTTTTCACGCACAATCCGTCTTGAGATTTCATTTAAAATTTCAGCAACTTGGGAATCATCCAGAATAGATGCTTTCCTGAGCTGAATTAACCTGGCAACCAAATCTGCACTCCATGGTTTCTCATTCAATGAATACCTAACGTACTTCCGCAAAATCTCCTCCATGCTAAAACCTGTCTGGATATGGATTAGCAGTTGCTATTAAAACTCGAATGGAATGCATAGTATGCAAGAAAATAACAACAAAATATTTGCATAAGTGTGTGTGTAAACATCTACATCAACATATCAATTATTTCCTAGAAGCTGCTACAGCCATACATGAGAGGTAAAACCAAGCTCAATAAAAGATTTCTAATGTAATGATTTTTTGCTAATAAAATGTTCTCCAAAAGGAAAATTCTTATGAAAAAAATGTTAAATGATTAATTGGTATGGATTTCCATCATAATATATGGTATGCTTGAAGATGGATCTTAGTTTTTTCCCTCTTCAAAAGGAATTTTAGATCTAACATTAGGAGTCATGTCTCTGGAGATATGTGACCTGCAGGACTCACTTAAGCACTACAAGCAAGGAACTAGAGAAATTTCTATAGGAAGATTGGAACAGGTAACAACTCAGCTTTTTGGTGTTACCCTTCTTTACTTCCATGCAAGTGGCTGGATGTTTGCAGAATTGGGTCTCACCTTTTGCACTAATCCCTTTAGTGCTGATTGATCTATTGCATCACTTCCTTGCTGAAACAACTCATCTATTGATTTGCAAAGCATAGCATTTTTATTAACCTGAAAAATCATCCCCTATTAGTATAACAATTTAAGAAATATGTACAATCGATTTCAAATATTACATCAACCCAATTAACAAATTAAAACACAAAAAGAAAAAAGGTACAATTAGGATGGTCCAACTTACCAATTTCTTTCTTTTGTGCCTGGGAGAAGTGAATTTCTTAACAGTCTTGACAAAAGCAATGACAAAAGTGATACCGGCATAAGCTAAAGGAACAGCAAGAATCCAAGGCAAAGAGCTGGTGCCAACTCTGGGTCCAGGAATGGCTTGAGTGACAGAACCAGTGAACTCAACAAGGTCCAATGCCTTCTCCTGAATCCACGGCAATTCCTCCTCAACTTCCACCTCCACTTCTTCCGTATCTTTCTCAACTACTTCTTTCTTGTTTTCTTTTTGGTTTTTCGATGGCACCACATTTCCGCCGCTCTTCGCCGCCGCAGCGATAAGAGAACGGGATAAATTGGGTCTTCTTGGGATCAAATGAGGGATTGATAAGAACGAAGAGGGAAACGGACGGCCGGCAATTTTGGGTCGAGAGAGGAATTGAGAGGAAGGGTAAGAACAAGTGAATGAATGAGAAGTAGAAGATGAAGAAGCAAGAAACGCCATTGAGCAAATGGAAGTTTCGTTTCAGCACACCCGCTAAATCAGAGCCAAAGCTCCAATGTCCAAAAGGGTTTACGTCATGGCGTGGGTTTTGTTTTGTTTTTGTTTTATCTTTTGGATTTTTTTTCCTTTAACTTTAATTTTCCACCGAAGTAAGCACTCCCCATGTATTTTTTTTTTCATTTTTTGGCCATAAAATTATAGCATTCTCTATCTTACGTAAGCCCAGGTTAATTAATGACGATAATAAATTAATAATTAATTTAATCTAGTTGCGTGATAATAATTTCAATAAGATTAACTTTATTGTAGATTGACGATGACGATAATCAAATTGACGTTTTGAATTCATACAAAGAAAAGATGAAATATATATAAAAAGAAAATATTGTAACAAAATAAATTAAAAAAGTCTAACATAAATTTAAATTTTAACTAAAAGATTGACTCTCTGAGACTTTTCTTGGTCTACTAGAATTGACGTTATCCACTGAAAATTACTACTGCTACTAGTGTTAGTACTTTAATTACTAAAAACAATAGTTTCAAAGCAATGTAGTCCATCGAAGATTGGTGCTAGCGCCGGTGCTCTACGTCTGGACTCCCTTGTTTGTGCCATCTGCAGGCCGTTGATGGAGCCATTCTTTTTCTCGTCGGGGAGTGCCTTGGTTACCCCTGAATTACCCAACTCCGTTGCCTGGTTTTTCATCATCGAGCTTTGCGATAGAGGCACACCAAATTCATCCCCAAAGTAATCAGGGCATATTGCAAGGCTCAGTGAACCGAAAGCCGACATCGTTTTGAGTGAGCTCACAAAGGATTAGAGATGCGGCAACACGATTACCAGAGCGACTTCGAGAAAGCAGGAGGGTCAAGAAAACTGAAAACAAAAGGCTGATTGAGTTATGCATACAAGGCAACGCCCCCCCTTTATATATAGAGAGAGGAGAAAATCATAATCTTAATTCTAAACGAATTAAGAAGAGAGAAGAGAAAATCATAATCCTAATTATAAACGAATTAAGAATTGGAAGGGCAGGCTAATTTTATTTGTATTTCTTTGCTTTTACTCCAAGCAAGAACTCAGGAATTTTTACTAGTCCACTTGACAGGAGGAATAAAATTATTGACACCCACTCCCCCCTCTCTCTTTTAGAAAAAAACCCACATTATAAGCTGCCTTAATAAGTAAGCTGATAAAATTTCAAAATCCAAACAAGTACAACCTTTCCAAATATTCTATGAATAATCAATCAAGCAAAATAGTAAATAACAAAGACTACCAGGGTGATCAAATCCCAGAACACAGCTTCAATTTTCTAAATAGAAATACAATTTCATTAGCTCCAGCCTTCTGCAACTCAAGCTCCAGAAAAATAACATTCTGAGATTACCATGCAGACCATTAATTGCTCCCACTTTGCTTACTAATGCAACCGCCTTAATTTTTATCAGCTGACAATGCCAAAGAGAAAGCCTATCTCTTTCAGCACAGAAATTTATCATTAGTCTGTTTTTGCCATCCTCCAATTCGCACAATGGTGTTTAGGAGTCTGTTCTTCCTTCCATTTGGTTCATTAAAAGAAAGAATACGAAAGATTGCAGCAAAAATTGTTTTTTATTTGAATAACATCATTTTGAAAAGAGGTATGCAGGCACCCAAATATGATCATCATTGATGAAAACTAAAATAATAAAATTATCTATCCAAAATAGCCTATGCATATAATATTGTATTTTCCCTCTACCCAGAATTAGCAATGAAAAATGTGAAAGGAATTAAAATTTTGCCCTAAAGCTTTGGTTTTGGGCTCTGAGATTCCTTGAGCCATATAGGAGGATAAATTCTGTATTCTTGGGTTGGCTCCTCTTCTTTATTGTCTCCGTCTTTCTCTTCAAGAATGTCCTTAGGATATGCATCAGGGTTACCTTTGATACAGTTCTGCAAGGCTATAAATGGATGCACACAATCTGAACCCTGTGAAAGAAAACATTTTCGATATATTAGTGTGCAGAGGTTCTACAAAGATAGAGCTGACAAAATGTCGAAGCATTTTTCTCTTTGCCAAACAAAGCTCTGGTATGAACAATTTTTAAAAGCAAACCATTCAGCTTATGATATCTTCAAGAAGCTCCAATCATAGAATTAACTTGTCTAAATGTGACAGCATCTATCTCCCCTACTCAGCAAGTTGAGCCTACCCTTAGCCACATTACCCCATGCTCAAGGGTGGACATCATCCAGATACAATTGCCAAAAGGTTAAAGATATAAGTTCAGAATGGCAGCAAACGTCACAGATGGTTACATACAACAAGAATTGAAAATATTGGAGTCATATTTAAATGGTTAAGCAGTTAGGGAAGCCCATCTGTGAACCATTTAGATTAGCAGCCAAATACACAAAACCAACCACGTGCCTTGCACTGCAGTGAAACAAAAATAGTTGTAAACCTATGCGGAGTCTTCACCATCTATACAATATATTTACTACAGCTTCAACTTGGCACATGATATTAATAAGAGGTTCATTTTTTAATTGATTTCTTTGTTTTGTAATTATTGAAGTGACATTACCAGCTTTGAATTTAAGCAGATGGATACACATAGGACAGATTAGATTAATAAGAATAATGTTCAACATGATAAAAGAAGCCAATTTTCTCTGCAATGGGCTCGAATCAGTCACAATGATTAACTTATTACCTTTTCTTCAGCGGTACTTTTGAGAAAACAAAGGAACGCCTCTGTAAATTGAACCCCGCACGCTCCATTCCGCAGCTCAGCTACACAGGGGCATTCTAATGCTTTCTGTGCCTGCGCATCAAGAGACTGGAGAAACCCCATTTAATTTTACAACTTTTTAGGTGACCCACTAAGAAAAACAAACAGAAGAGGAACTTATAGCCTTCAAAAGTGAACCAACCTGATTCTCATCATTGCCAAAAGCCGCAGCTTCTGTAAAAGCAATAGATAATAGTATTGTCAAATATTCTAGTAAAAAGGGCTTAAAATGGCAGGCAAAACGAGCACAAGGTAAACTAGGCTTTTATTCTCCTCTTCTTTCAGACATTTTCACGAACAAACGAAACTCATGATTGGTCACGCGTCGTACTAGGAATAACAGACAATTAGTATTAGTACTAGAAACGTAAATTACGGAAAAGGGAAGTAGCAACCTGCAAGAAGAGAATCCATGGAAGCGAGAGAGAAGGACTGCTGGGTTCGGGCTTGATCATCAATTGCAGCCGCCGCCGCTACATCGCTTTGAACTTGACCCATCTCCGCCCTTTTTCATTTCCTTTCGACACTTTTACCCAACACAAGGATCATGTTCCTTCATTTGTAACGATCTTCTGCTTTGACTTTGACTTCACTTCATTTTTGCTTGTGGTTTTCTCTTATGGTATTTTCTTTTTTGTTTTTATTTTGTTTAAGAATCGATTTAATAGTTCTTATATATTAAATGAAATAAAATAGGTATTTCACAGAGTATACTATGATTACTATCGAATTCAAAAAATTACATGTACAAATTAATAATTATAATAAAATCTACAACATGTGCTATCTCATTTTCTAAAATTCATCTCACACCTTTTTTTTAAATGTAATTACATGTACAAGTTAATAATTGTAATTGAAATCAAGTATCACATCTCATGTAAAAAGAATTTAAAAATATAATCACATATCTTTTCTAAGAAAGTGTGAAGACTTTTCTTGAACTTATTCATATTATATATATAAAGAAAAATTTTAATGACAAAATAAATTGTATTATTGTTGAATATCAATAAGCAATTGTCACGTATTTATATTTTCAATCCAAATTATATATCTAATTAGTGAAAGAAAATCTTACTTATAAGTTTAAGATTCATCATATTTTTTAATAATAAAATATTAACGATATTTTATTTTTTTTCATTTATGAGATTTGAGTTTGAAAGATTTTAATACCACTTATTATGAATTAATATTTTTAATCAAAAAAATATTTATTAAGTTAAAAAATATTTTATTTATAAACTTGAAACTTATTTCATTTGTTAACGTCGTGGGATTAATAACACAACAATAATACTGACTGCATTGGAGGCCCACATTGGGCCAGTCTACGTTGGATGGGGCCCAACATCTTTATCATACTTTACATATAAAAACCTCATATTATTAGAAAATTTAATTTCAATTTAAGAATTTTCATTTAAAAGTATAAACAAAAAAAAAATGGGGACAAATTTGCAAATTAGGTAAGTAGTTAACTAACTTCCACGAGAGAAAGGAGGCAAAGGAGGTGAAGAGAGAGCTGGAACAAGGCCGAAAGTGCAAACCAAAGAAAATGGTTCGTTATCAATCTTTCGTTTTGCTTGTTTAAAATCTTGAGAAATGCCGCATTTACTAATCAGGCGGAATTTCCGATTGACGTGATATCGGAAAGGAAAAGAGAAAAAGGGAAAATGGAGGGAATGTGGGAGAATTTCATGAGAAACAATCAGAGTACATTGAAATCCCTTTTTCAGCGGAAGAAGTCATCATCCAACGATGAAGAATCCCCGGAAAGCTCTCCGAGACCCATCCCTCAGCTCTCTCCTCTCGCCAATTCCGTCGTATCTCGCTGTTCCAAGTACTCTCTCCGCCTTTCTTTCACTAAACGTTGTTCGTTTCTGTGGAATACAATACATTTTCATTTGTTTAAATCACACCTTTTTTACTCGAAGTCAGATCAAAAATGTTAATTAGGGCTTCAAATCCATTAAAAATGCTTAAAATGTAATAAAAGTAAAATCATGCATTTTGTTAACAACATGTTAATATCCAATTATGCGAAAGGATTGTTAATTTTATATCCAAACGTGCATTTTACTTACCGTTGCAGGATTCTTAAAATTCCTACTGAAGAATTACAGCATCGTTTCGACATAGAGCTGCCAGAGAGTGTTAAACAGCTTTTCACGTATGCTAGGAACTTTTTAGAGTTTTGCTCGTACCAAACACTGCATAAAGTGAGTAGAAATCCAGATTATTTGAGTGACCCAGAGTTCCGTCGATTAACGTATGAGATGATGCTTGCATGGGAGGCCCCCTGTGTTGAGTGTGAAGGACGAGTCAAAGTAAGAGACTCAAGTTTTGCTTCCTATTGATCTTTGTAAGATGCATTAGTGTTGTTTGTAACACGTCTTTTGATAATATTTTGATTAAAGCTTTGAGTATGAGGTTTTTTTTTTTTTGGGGGGGGGGGGGGGGGGGGGGGGGGGGTGGGTTGTGGTGGGTTGGGATGGGATGGGATTCAATGGTTTCTGATCTTCTCTTCTGTTGCAGGAAACTTCATCCACCAATGGGGAAGTAGAAGATGATGAAGGCGGGTCACTGTTTTATTCAAGTTCTATGAATATGGCTGTTCAGGTTCGTTTTACTAATTCAATTTGCATAATTAGGTTGTAGACTGGTGCTGCCTGGCAGTATATTATTTGGATTTGCATTCTTCATGGATTGGTAATTCTTCAGCCTCTTAGTTACCGGGGATGATGATTGAGTGACCACTGGTATTCAAAATTCATTCTTTACTTTCCAACAGGTTGATGACAAGAAAACTGTTGGACGAGAGGCTTTTGCACGAATAGCTCCTGTCTGTGCTGCTGTTGCAGATATAATAACTGTCCACAATCTTTTTGATGCATTGACAAACTCTTCAGGCCACCGGCTTCACTTTCTTGTATATGACAAATACCTCCGAAGCCTTGACAAGTATGTATGAATTGTTGTTTTCTTTCAATTTTGTGAACATTAATGTTTTCTGTTATTTAATTGTTGTGCCTAGTCACTTGAAGTATACAATATGGGGAATGATGAACTTAACCCTTACAGATCCTTGTCTTTTAATACTATTACATCTTTTACTATTTATTTGAATCATTTTAAACTTCTAAAGAAATGGATCATGAAAGCAAAGGTGATCACTGTTTGAAACTTTGTTGAGTTGAGCTGTAATAACTCGTCTTTATATTTAATAACTTAGACTCAGTGCTAATCTATTCTAAGTAAGAATGTTTAGGTTTGACACTGATGGCATCTTTGATCATATTGGATAAAAGAAGAAACATGTCTACGTATATCTTTTCTAGTCTTCTGTTTTTGTTGGTTATTTTGACTTCTGAGTTGAAACTGTTAGGATATCTATTTATCATGGCTCTTTACCTATCCCTAGGGTTGTTAAGGCCGCGAAAAATTCATTGGGATCCTCACTTTCTAATCTTCCACTTTCTGAGGTGGAGATAATTTTAGATGTTGAAGGCGCAGTTCCAACTCAACCAGTTCTGCAACATGTTGGAATCTCAGCATGGCCAGGTATGTCTATGTTTTGAAAATTGACCAGAAATTATGAAGTAAACCTTGCAGTGCATATAGATTTTAGATTCAATATGATTTGTAAAGGTTGACTGGTTGTTAAGACTGTTAACCAATTTCCCTCTTCTGGGTGGTCCTTGTATGATATCAAGCTGGGCCATACCATAGTTATGTTAATAGAGAATGTTATCTTAATATGAATGTATCAAATGGTACTTATTTTTATCAATTGATGGATTTGCATGTCTAATATTTGGATGCATCAAGTGGTACTGGCATTTGTGTTGATAACAAGTCATTAATGTTATAAACATTCACATGTATCATTTATATGAAATGCATGTGTCATAAAAAAACTAATCTATGCAAATCGGCCATGCTACAGAAATAATTTTTAGATTGAGAATTTCACTGATTTCATTGATTCAAATACTTCGTCAAAAGCCTCTACCAACTCGTTTCAATTTGCATTATCTTTGGATTGTTTATGCGTGTTGAATTCCTATTTATGCAGGACGGCTCACTCTAACCAACTTTGCTCTGTACTTTGAGTCTTTGGGAGTTGGTGTATATGACAAAGCTGTGAGATATGATCTGGAAACAGACCTGAAGCAGGTCATAAAACCTGAATTGACTGGGCCACTGGGTGCTCGTCTATTCGATAAAGCTGTTATGTACAAATCAACTGTGTAAGTTATCTGTCAAAACAGTAATTTGGAATTATATAAGTCATATAACTTTTGGTCTTATCTTAGAACAGTTTTCTGATATTTATTTGGAATTTTAAAATCTATTTACAGAACAGAACCTGTCTATTTTGAGTTTCCTGAATTTAAAGGCAATTCTCGTCGGGACTATTGGTTGGATATTTCTCTGGAGATCCTGCATGCTCACAGGTTTGTGAGAAAAAACAACTTCAAAGAGACTCAGCAGTCAGAAGTACTTGCAAGGGCTATATTAGGCATCTTGCGTTATCGTGCAGTGAGAGAAGCTTTTCAGTTCTTTGCATCACAGTATAAAACCTTACTTAGTTTTAACTTAGCTGAGAGCCTTCCTGGAGGTGATGTCATTTTGGAAACTCTTTCTAGTCGTTTGGCACTTTTAAGTGCCGATGCTTCCCCACTCAATGTCAAACAGCTGCCAACTTCATCTCCTGTTTCACTTTTGGCACTTATTCAACTTGGATTCATTCTACAGAAGGATGCAATGTTGGATGGAGAAGCATTAATAGTTGGAGATTTCTGTGTTGGGGAGACAAATCCCTTAGAGATAGCGGTGAAGCAATCTATATCTGACACAGGTAGGGCTGAAGCTGCACAGGCAACGGTGGACCAAGTGAAGGTAGAAGGGATTGATACAAATTTTGCCGTAATGAAGGTTGGTTAGAGCAATCTCCATCTATTAGATTTGGTTTCATGCCAGAACAACTTTCATATGATTGGCTATTTTGATGAATTTATTAATTACTTTGTTCAGCAGAAGTTGTCATCAGAAAATTTGGTTCATTTAGATCTCCATAGTTTTTTTTTTTTTTTGAAAAGCAAATTTAGATCCCTGTAGTTGATTTAGAGAAAGTTTAGTTTTGTCATGCTCCTATAAACAACCTTAGTCTTCAATTAGATACTGGACAGCTGCCAAGCCTTTTGTTATACTACCTCAACCTAGCGCCAAAATCTTTTAGAATCATTGCAGTAGGTTGTCAAAAGATGACAATTTTTTCCTTTTTCTTTTATCTTTTTTCTAATTTGTAGGAACTACTCTTTCCTGTCATTGGATTAGCGACTCGTCTTGAGCTTCTGGCTTCTTGGAAAGACCCTTTGAAGTCTACCATCTTCCTGATGTTGACTTGCTGTGCAATTATAAGGTAACTTGTCTCTGGCTGGTCTTCTGCATACTTTGCTTCAATACATTAAGAACAATATACATGTTCCCCTTCTGTATGTCCTGAAAGTTGAAACATGTAAATGAAAATATTTATGGTGTATGAATTGCCAACTGGTCAGGAAAATATTTATATTAATGGATGGCTTAGCTGATTATTTCCTGAATTTTCTGCATGTAATCTGTACATTCAGTTTGGTGTAGGTTATTTTGTTTTCTTTCACATTGTTAATATTTAGCTTTTTGTGATTGCATAGACAGACCAAATGATGTAATCGATCCATTAATTATGATGTGCAGGGGGTGGATCAGGTATATCTTGGCATCTGTTTTTGTACTCTTTGCAATTATCATGCTCTGGCGCAGGCATTTTAACAAAGGGAAGCCCTTAGAAGCCTTCAGAATAACACCTCCACCAAATCGAAATGCAGTTGAGCAGCTGCTGACATTACAAGAAGCCATATCTCAACTTGAAGCACTAATCCAAACTGGGAATGTTATTCTCCTCAAGATAAGGGCTCTCTTATTTGCTGTCTTACCACAGGTGCTTGTACCAGCTATACTTGATTCAGATAAATAAAATAAAATAAAATATGCTAAATACCTATTTCCCATAATTTATAAGTAGAATGCAATGTCAATAAAGTAAGTTAGTGCAAGTTTTCCCATCCCCCACCACATTGAACTGAAAAAGGGTAAAATGAAAACGTAACCCAATTTCTGAGTTTTCACTTATATCTTCATTTTGTATATTAACATTTATACATTTCTTGTTTTACTAGCATCATTTTGCTACTGGTAATTGAATCAATTAGTAGCTTATTTATTGGCTTGGTTCTACAGAAGGGTTTCAAATAAAGAGGACGGTTAGAGGTGGAGCTTTTTTTTGTTAGGCATTTTAGTATTTTTTCTTTCTTTTGAACATAACAGAAAAAAAGGACATTGTAGGATTTCAAGTCTTCTTCATGAAGTTCTAATTTTGAAAGCCTTGTGTGCTGCATGTGCTCTAGAAAATCTTGCCCTGTTGGTTGTCATAACTGGGACAGAACTTAGTTGAATGAGTATATTCCACCCTTGTTAACTGTTGAGACATGGATAAATGATGACATTATGGAAAATCACGGAAAATGACTAGAATACTTTCATGAATAATAGCTGAGAAGTGAAGCTCAAGTCAAACTGAAATAGCAAAGTCTTGTTCTTTCTTGAATTCATTTCGTATGAAAATGTAGAATGTTAGTACATATTTAATTGGTCCCCTAAACAAATTGAATGTCACTTTGTTAATTTTCTAAAATAATTGATCAATTTTGTCCGGCTCCTGACAATGTTTTCTATTCTTCATCTGTTATCTGTCTGCCAGGCCACTGACAGGGTTGCTCTCTTATTGGTTCTCATGGCTGTAGTGGTAGCTTTTGTTCCTTTGAGATACCTGGTATTGTTTGTATTCCTAGAGGCTTTTACGAGGGAACTGCCATATAGGAGAGAAAGCAGTGACAGATGGCTGCGAAGGCTTAGGGAATGGTGGTTTAGGATACCAGCAGCACCTGTTCAGCTCATTAGAGCTGATGACAAGAAAAAGAAATGATATTTGCTATGAACAACACTCAGATTGTAAATTGTTAAGGACTAAATATATCTCATTCCTTCTTAATTTTTTCCCCTTCGGCAGCATGCATGCGTATGTCTATGGTACTTGAGGTGGATCTCTGCTACAAATGAACCCTACCCTAAGTCCTTTATACTTGTCTAGCATTGGACCCATGGCACAACTGCATCTATTAGGAACTTAGCTTCAACTATGGGTTCATCTTTTGGCAAATCTTCAATGGAATCAACATCAATCTAAGCATGTTCAGAGACAGTTCCTTAAGAGGCAAAGTGAAAGTTCTTACTTTTGTTATAAGAGGAATGATTCCCTTTCTGGTTGAAATGAATGCCTATGTTCTGCCATAATGTGTGTGTGTGTGTGTGTGTATATAGTCATGGTCTAATCTTTTGCTCCTTCATTTATGAACTCTCTTCGTTTGCCATTGCTGAGGCAATGGTGGAGTATTTGGAGAGAGACTGTCACTCTAATTTCATTCTTAGACAAAATCTTCCCTCACATTTCATTTGTTATCTGGCCACCAAGCCAATGTAAGAAAAGGCCTGTAAACTTGCCAACCTCGTACATTTATAATCAGCTCTTCCAAGAACTAGAGTAAATAGATTCAAATAGCCTTTCAAAGAAGAGAAAAATGGAATAACAAGTCACACGTTATCCGGCCAAAACTCCCTAAAGAAAGCCCGCTCAAATTCCCTTTCTTGCAGATGCTTCTCTCGTGCTTGCATCTTCCGCATCCTCTTGGAAAGTGCCTTGGTCTTCTTTAAAGGTACCTGTTCCTGAAGTTTATAGCAGTGGAGCAAGGGCATCAGAACCAACAGCAAAAGCCAAAATATAAACATTCAGATTTCAGAGCCATGGAAACAGAGTCACCTCATGATTTTTTCCCTCAGAATCAGGATGATCGATAGGCTTTGGTGTCTTTCTCTTCTTCTCTGCTCCCAGACCTCTTTTATTGTTCTTCACATATGCTTGTACAGGCTCCAATCTGCCCTAAATCACATAAAATAAAAACAATCTAGAAATCAGATGGAAAACATTTCGGAAGGGGACATGAAAAATTTACTATTTCTTCTCAGAATTACGAAGAAGAGTCAACAAGTTAATCAAATTCAAACCTGTTCAGAAATACCCAGACCGGTGCCTTCTTTCCACCCGTGCTTCTTTAATAGCTGCCAAAATAACAAATTCAATAATCATTAAAACACGGTCGTATTGAAAAACCTTTACTTTTTATTGACAAGAGAGGGATTGATCGAGTACCTGGAAGCCAACGTTGGAGGAGCCAATGGCGGCTGCTGAACCGCTTGAACCCACAGCCTCTCCCATCACGTTCCTTCTCGAAACCAGTAAAGTTAGAGAATCGGCTCCTCTCTCTTTTCTCCTTCTTTCTCTCAATTGTTTTCGAGGTCGAGAATTGCGCAGGATTACGAAGAAGAAGAAGAAAAGAATGTTCAGGGTCAAAACCAAACTTCTTAAGAAATATTATATTTAGGGAGAATAACAAATTATTTTAATCCCTTTGTTATTTACAAGCTAACAGCTCCTTCAATCCTAACTCTAATCTAATTCAATGTAGGGTGAAGCCTCCTTTAGTCATGGGCCGTGGCCCTTCAAAATTAAAAAAAAAATATTTTTCTATCAAATAAAATTTCTAAAATTTTTTATATATTCTTTTAACGATCTCTCAAAATAATTTTTTATTTAATAATTAATATAAAAAAATAACAAAATAATTTCACATGTCTCACTCAATTTTCAAGTTTTTTTATTTTTTTAATTTATATTATTATTTTTATTAATTTTTTTTATTTCTATTATATTTACACATATATTTTAAGTTTTTATTAATTTTTTTTTCAAATTTCTATAAACCATCAATCATATTTTTTTATTATATCATATCTGGGTTCTATTTTCTATTTGCCTTGTTCTTCTTTTTTCTATTATATGAATTTTATTTTTTATTATTTTAATTTTTACAAATTAATAAATTATTATATAGTTCTCAAATATAAGTTGTAGTATCGCATTGTTATTTAAAATTTTATCAATGTATCATTTTTTATTAATTCTGATTATGTAAGAGGAAATTGGTTTGAGTATATTTTTTAATGTGCTTTATATTTTATATTTAGTTGAAAGAAAATTATCTTAAATATATAATCTTTAAATAATCCTGATTATATAAGAAAAAATTATTAATCTTGTATATTATATTTAACTATTTATATTTTATGCATTGGACTTTTATATTTAGTATTTTAAGTTTAAATAGAAATAAAATAAGAATATTAGAAGTTGACTACATTAATATTTTTTTCAGATTTAATTAAAATATGAGTAAGTTGAAAGCAATTACCAAATTTTTTAAAAAACAATAAGCATATCGTTCAAATAATTTTTCTACACTTGAGCCATTAAGCCTCAATGTTTCAATTTACAAACAAAAGTAATGTGTGTAGACACCTCATTTTGTCCGGATTATCTATTAATTTTTTAAAAAATAATAATAAATAAATAAAATAAAAAATAAATATAAAAAGATAAAGATATGTTCACAGTTATGCTAATTAAATTGAAAGTTTGAAAAGAGTTTAAATTAGATTGAATTTAAAATCAAGAAACCAATTCAAGAAAGAATATAACACATTAGTTATAAATACACCAAGGCATCAGTGGTAAAAAACACACAAAAAGGAGAGGTAGAAAAAAGAAATGTGAGAAAATTAGAGAGAGAAGGAAGGAAAATAGTTTTTGGTTTCTTAGGTTTCGGCCTCTTTAGATTTAGGAGAATCAAGTTAGTTTCTAAAAAAACTATTTCGATTAAAAAGAAAGATAAAAAGGGAAAAGCAAAAAAAGTGTTATAATTTCTTTAAATAGAGTTTAGAGAGTACTTCTCATTCTTAATAGTGTCCGCTTGGTATCTAGATTTGTAGTTTGGTTTTCTTTTTGGGTTTTTCAACCCAATTAGGTAAGTTTTTTTTTTATGATTGTAATTTTTTATTTTTGTTTATTTATTTTTTGAGAAATATTTAAGATTAGGAGTTTGCATAATTTATGTAAGTTCTCCAATAATTAAATCTCAAAAATGCCAAAAGTGACTTCTTGAAAATTGCTAGGTGAGGAAATTATCCAAGATAATGCCATGAACATTTGGAGGTTGTGAAAAATTTTCGATACTCGAGATGTACATAAATATTTAAATAAAATAAAAAAGATAAAAATTGTAAAATTAAATAAGTAAATTTTTCGATGGTGAAATATCAAGAATGCCAAAGTGAATTCTTAAAAATTGCTATATGAGCAAATTGTCCAAAATTATGCCACGAGCGTTTGGAGGTTTTGGAAAATTTCGATATATAAGATTTATATAAATATTTAAATAAAATAAAAAGATAAAAATTATAAAATTAAATAAATAGATTTTTCAATGATGAAATCTCAAGAATGCCAAAAGTGGCTTCTTGAAAATTTCTTGCTAAGAAAGTTTTTCAAAATTATGTCCTGAGCGTTTGAAGGTTTTAGAAAATTTTCAATATCAAGAAGTTTTATTTATTTAATTTGAAAAACTAACAAAATAAAATAAGAACGGGAAATAGAATTAAATATTAAACTAGATTTTATTTAATAAGGCCTAAAAGATACATAATTAATAAGGTACCAATAAAATGAGTATTGTGAGGATGTTAATACCTTCCATACACGTAAAAGACTTCTAAACCTAATCTGCTTCATAGACTAGAATATATTATTTTCAATGAGCCCGTGTCAAGCTTAGGATCTCATAAAAATAACAAATTTACTTAGATGGTCAATCATACCTAGATAGAAAAAAATTGATGACGACTCCTTTTTAAGTCAAATTATTGAGTTCTAGGACTTAGCACATTATGACAATGTGAATCAAAATATATAAGATTCAATCTTAAAGAAATTGATGTTTTTCAGTATATAATCAATAATTGATGAATTTGAATCCAAAAAACAAAGTCGAGTATAATTTTCCTAAAAGTCTATTGTAAGTCGTTATTTTCTTGATTTTCATGTCATATAAAATTATTTTTTATTATCAATTTTTTGATTATTGGTTAAATTTAACATATTAGTTTTTGAACTTTTTAACCCTTATTCCTCTGTCTTTGCCCTCAATAAAGTTGACTAGTTTTGCCCCTAATTCAATCTAAGAGTTCAAATCAAATTATATATCGTGTATCTAACCTATTGCGCTGTTTGACTTAGTCTAAATTTCTTGGGCTATAACATAATGGACATTCACACATATATTTAAAACACTCCCCCTTGGATGTCTATTATATGAAGAATATATCTCATTAAAACCTTATAAAAAAAATCTCATGGGAAAAAATCTGAATAACAACAAAAAGTATATAATTCTTTTCAAGAATACACTTTTGAAATACTACATTATTAAAAACTTTATCAAGAAAAACCAATGAGATAAATTTTGGAAAAGAGTACGAAGCGTATTTTACTCCCCCTAATGATTGCATTATTTAATATTTTTAAAATGACTCATTTCAATATTTTGTACCAACTTTTCAAATTTATAATAAGAAGAGCTTTGGTGAATTAATCTGCTAGATTGTTGCTTGAACGAATTTCTTGAACACTAATATCACCATTTTCTTGGAAATCATAAGTAAAGAAAAATTTTAGCGAAATATATTTTTTTATTGTTTCTAATGTATCCTTCTTTTAATTATATTATGCAAGCAATATTATCCCCATATAATGTCGTTGGAATTTCCTTCTCAGTTAACACGTCACGTGTTTCTCAAATATATTGAGTTACAGATTTTAATCAGACACATTCACGACTTATCTTATGAATAGCTAAAATTTTTGCATGGTTAGAAGAAGTAACAACTATAGTTTGTTTTACAAAGCATTACAAAATAGCCATACCTATATATGTGAATAAGTAACTTATTTGAGAATGAGCCTTATGTGGATCGGATAAATATTCTACATCTGAATAACTAATTAAATTGGATGTTGATATATTTGAGTAATATAAGCCAATATCCAATGTCTTTGAGTTAAAAAAAACTATATTGTGTTAATAAATTTACAACAAATAATATATCAAGTTGTGTATTCCTAGTAAGATATATTAGTGCTCTGATTGTACTAAGATGCGGTACTTCAAGATTAAGAAGTTCTTCATTATCTTCATGAGGTTGGAAAGAGTATTTTTTTTCACATCTAGTGACTTTACAACCATTGTTGAACTTAATGGATATGCTTTATCTATATAAAATCGTTTTAGAACTTTTGCTATATAATTTGATTAATATACAAAAATTTTATTTGTCAATTGCTCAATCTTAAGACTCAAACAAAACTTTGCTTTTTCAAGGTTTTTCATCTCAAATTCTTTCTTTAAGTAATCCACGATTTTTGATAATTCTTTAAGAGTTCCTATAATGTTTAGGTCATTAACATAAACAATAATTACCTCAAATTCATATCTGAATCTTTTATAAGAACACATAGGCATATACGATTATTTTTATAACTTTCTTTCAACAAAAATTTACTAAGATGATTATACTATATGCATCCGGATTGCTTTAATCCATATAGAGATTTATTTAATTTTATCAAATAAATTTTTCAAGAATTTAAATTTTTTATTTTAGACAACTTAAATTCTTCATAAATTTTCATATAGATATCATTATCAAGTGAGTCATATAAATAAGTTGTGGCTACATTCATTAGACACATTTTAATCTTTCTCATATATTGTCAAACTAACTAAATATATAAATGTAATTGCATTCACTATAAGAAAATATGTCTCTTCATAATCAATATCAAGTTTTGGGGTAAAATCTTGTGCGATAAACCGTACTTTGTATCTCACAATCTCATTTTTTTTATTTCATTTTCACACAAATACTCATTTGTATCACATTGGTTTTACACCATTTGGTGTATGGACTATAAATTCAAAAACTTCATGTTTTATAAGTGAATTTAATTCCAACTTGATTGCATCTTTCCACATTAGCTAATAATTTTTACGTTTACATTCTTCAATAGATATAGGTTCAAGATCTTTATTTTCTTCCATAAAATTGAGCGCTACGTTATTTGCAAAAATATTGTCAATGTTTATTGCATTCTGGTTCTATCTTTTCCCTTCATGACATAATTTATTTAGATCTCTTCCTTTTCAATTATTTCAAGTACCTAAATTTCTTCTAGAATTTTATTAATTATATCAAGGGTTTTTTCTAGAGTTTTTGTTTCCTTTTTGACCATCTTGTATATTTGCTCTTTTCTTCTTCTTTTTTGAAAATTTTATCTTTGGAATTGATTGGTTTCTCATCTAGTAATTTTCAATAATTTTTTGTATCATTATTGATTCGGGATGGTCCAACTGATCATGCCAAACATTAAAATTATTAATAAACTTCTGATTTATTATAGCAAAAGTTTCAATTATTCTAATTTTTTGTGTAGTACATTTCAGAGGATAAAACGGAT